ATAGTTGAACATCTTTTCATACACTTGAATATTGTGTACTTGTGAATAATTGTCACACCCCGATTCGGGTTCGGCTCCGCCGTAACACGATATTATCCGCTTTGGGCCCCGACCACGCCCTAACAGTTTTGTTTCTGGGAATTCACACGAGCAGAACTTCCCAGTGGGTCATCCATCCTGGGAATGCTCTAGCCCCTTTTTCGCTTAACTTCGAAGTTCTTACGGAACGAGAAGTTAGTGAGTTCCCAAAAGGCCTCATGTTATATGAAGGTGAGCATGTACATATAATATATGGAGGTGAGCATATACATATAAGGCATAGAGGATCCACTCAACTGGACGATGTAGGATCTAACAATCCACCCTCTTAGGGGCCCGACGTCCTCGTCAACACACTTCCGGCCAAGAATTGACTCTGATACCAAATTGTCACACCCCGACCCGGGCTCCATCACATCTCGGACTCGGCTCCGTCGTAGCATGATATTGTCCGCTTTGGACCTCGACCACGCCCTCACGATTTTGTTTCTGGAAACTCACGCGAGCAGAACTTCCTAGTATGTCACCCATCCTGGGAATGCTTGACCCCTTTCTCGCTTAAATTCGGAGTTCCTACGAAATCCGAAGCCAATGAGTTCCCAAAATGTCTCGTGTTATATGGAGATGAGCATGTACATATAAGGCATAGAGGATCCACTCCTCTTAGCGATGTGGGATCTAACAATAATGGCATAAGCTTAAAATAAATTAAAATTTATTATTTCATAACACGTATGTCGTACAAATTTGATGAGAAAATTTAGTTCTCAACTGGCGAGGCAGACAATGAAGGAGAAACTGTGATTGCAACACATCTGTTCCAAATTTCGTTACTCTTTTCTAAAACTCGAGATCTGTCTACATTAGGTTGAGACCTTAGAGACCAGTCGAGAAACAGTTGATGGCATGGTTTTTTCGCATGCACAATATGCCAGCAACAATTATCGCTGATAGTTTCACCTTTGGAAATATGGTTGACAAGTTCCAACCCACAGTTTTTGCTGAAATGTATTCTACACTTATCCAATGTTAAAAGAGCCCAACCCCAGCCCATTCCACACAAATCCAAGTACCAAAGTCGGTGCAGCATGCAGACATGTCAATATGCTAGATAATTCTAGCATTATCTTATTAAGTCAGGTGGATGTGTGTGTATAATCATGTGCTAGAAAGCTCTAGCAGCTTGTACAAGTTGTGTGGCTGCCATGCAAAGCCCAAAGGCAATGGGGAATTGTAGTCGGCAAACATCACCTATAAATAGGTGTGTGATGTTGTGAAAGCAATCAACCAACAAGAAAGAAGTAATCAAGCAAGCAAGCAACCAAGTGAGAGTGAGAAGTAAGAGTAGTCTTGTGAGGAGGAGTGTGAGTGATCTAGAGTTTGTCTCTAGAAAGTGAGTGAGTGTCATTGCTTCTAAAGTGTGTCTTTGTGTCCTTTTGAATGTTGTAATATTTTGTGTGTGTAATACAAGTAATTTGTTTACTTGTGTTGTCTTTCCAACACTTGTGTTAGAGTTGTGTACTCTAAATTTTTCCCAACATCCAAGGCCTTCTGGTTTGAAACCTTCACGGGGTATATAGAAGACGAAGGAGAAAGTGCGACTGCAACACATAGGTTCCAAACTTTGATACTATTTGCCAAAAACTGAGGTTTTTTAGCATTGGATAAAGAGTCAAGAGCGTTGGCGACGAAGAGATCCTGACATGTTTTTCCCAAAGACACAAGACCGCGACAATAAGCATCGCTTACAGATGAACCTTCGAAAACACTGTTGCCCACTTCATAACCACATTTTTCTGTGACATGTTATGAGCATTCATCCAAGGTTGAGAAAGCAAAAACCATTCCAAATGGGCTCGCCAAAAGAAAAACTACTAAAATTGGAAACATATTTAGTCCGGCCATAGTACTTTATGGAATTTAATAAATTTCAATTTCTCAGAATGAGAATGAGCTCTTGGATGTGGATGGAGTTGATGTTTACGACCCCGTTATTTATAAGTTTGTTTTGTTAAGGTGCATGCCGTTTGAATTATGACAACGCTTTCATTTAGTACAACAATAATGATGAAAGTTTCTTCTACTAATTATGTTCAGTTTTAATAAACTTTGTTACGTCTTAGTGACAATAGTGTTTGTTCAAAAAAAAAAAAAAACCTTTGTCCAGCCACATGTACTATACAACATCACATAATGTCCATGTGACGCTTTTGTAAGGAGTCACGTACTCTCTCTTTATGTGACCCGCAATTTTCACAAACCTGAATTACAACTTCAGGGGTGCGGCTCGGATGTTGATCATCTAGACTAATTCGTGGTGGCATCGCCTTCCATGATCAGATTTGTTGAGGCTCTGCCTTTGCTTAGCAGCGAATCTCACTAGAAAGGGTAAAGTTATAAGTGGAGATGAGCCAACCGGTGGATTTTGTTCTCTAATTAGTGCAGGTTTGTTTGCACTACATCTAGCGGGTGATGTCTTGCCTAGCGAGTGATGTTGCATTGCTTGTCAACGATGGTTTTTATGTGGTCTTGCTTGTTGACAATGACATAGTACAAGAATAGTGATTATTAGGAGCAGCGGATTGGAGGGGATAGAAGGATATGCCCCTATTAATCTTCATTTGGGATGGAAATATATATTTGCCTCTTTTAATTGTAATAGAGCCGAAATACTAAATGCCCCTATTCGTTATTAAATTTTTTATCATAATGTGGATGGAGAAATATAATAATATGGTGGTTCAGCATCACTCCTTTTAGTTCTTTGTGTAGCTATGATTTTTTTAGCATTTTATGTCGAAAAGTATATAAATTGTTGATGCACAAAATCAGTGAGGACTTTAGTACAATAGAAAGTGTTAAGTTTGTGCCATTTGCTAGATTGTTCCGGTCACTAGTGTGGATAAGTATGTAAATGGATAGGGACAGGGAAGCAAACACAAGATGTACGTGGTTCACCCAGATTGGCTACGTCCACGGAGTAGAGGAGTTCTCATTAATTGTGAAGGATTTACACAAGTACATAGGTTCAAGCTCTCCTTTAGTGAGTACAAGTGAATGATTTAGTACAAATGACATTAGGAAATATTGTGGGAGAATGATCTCCTTTTATAGAAGAGAGTTTCTAGCTTTGTTCTGACATTGACACGTGTTGTGTTGTGATTGACTTCTGATGTTGACACGTGTCGCGCTATGATTGGCTTCCTATGTCGACACGTGTCACTCTGTGATTGGCCTCCTGGTTGAAGGGAAACTCTTTTGGGTCCTTGACGGTATAACGTTGATCGATGCTCGGTAGTTTCGGGATTGGTCAAGTATGGTACAAACATAAATTATATCAACAATCTATAAGTAAAAAAAAACACATTGAATTCTATCTTTTAGATCTTTACCAACTGCTGAGATTAAAAGCTTATGTAAGATTATTATGTATGTAATAGCTAAACTACATTGTAATTCTTGGAAAACATGACTTTTAGATTAAAATCTTGTGTAGGATTAAAATCTATTTTTAATCTCTTAATACACTTAATTGCCTCATTTATTAATTATGTTTAATTTTTTTTATTTCTCATTTTCTTTCTAATTTTAATGTAGTAATTATATTTAATCCTAATTTTTATTTTATTCATCATAATATAATTTGTTGTAGACATTTAGATAAACTAATTTTTTTTATAAAATATTCTAATACACTTAATGTTCTTCATTTAAGCACATTAATTCAATCGATATATTTGGTATTTCATTCCGGTACAACATTTAATTAGTATATTATATTTTTTTTTGGTTGAATTAATATATTATATCTCGATATAAACATTTAGGGATACTAATTCTTTTTTATATATTTTCGGTATCTTTATGTATTTACATATTTGTTTTATGTGTCATTAAATGTTTTCTCAATTAGGTAAATTTATAAGGATATAACTGAACGAAGTTAAACAAAATTAATAAATCCAAATATGCATATTAATTAAATCCAAATATTTAATAAAAGATATTAAATAAAATCCACATTAAGGGACCAAAAGCAATATCTAATATAATACTAGATCTTTATTAAATCTAATTCTTTTTAAGAATTAACGTTCAAAAACCCCTAATATGGCAATGTATATCTCGGTTGTTAATCATATATAATGGAATATTAATTGTGTTTAATAATTAAGCTAATTAGGTATCCATATCAGCCATATTAATTAAGCTTACATATCTTATCCCGCGTCAAGTCAAAGACATGTGATAAGTATCAAAACAGGTGGATGGCCATTTTTGGAAAATTTGAAAATCTAGTCCATGGTTTTCTCGATATAGAATTTTAGACAACATTTTTAACTTGTAATAATCTAGTTAAAAGATGAAGTGAAAATACAAAGCTACCCTTATCTTAAACCTCCAACTTTTCTCTTTCTTCAAGTGAAATTTAGACATTTGACGTGGAGTGAGTAAAAAGGTAAAAAAAAAAATCAAAATGTGCGCTTATCATTTCTCTATTAGGATTTATAAAAACATGAGATAAATAATATGAGAAGTTTTTAAACTGCATGATTTTTGAGCTCCGATTAAAAAAGGCGTGCGATTACAATTAATGGAATGTGTATACTGGGTTTGTAATATTATGAAATTGTCACATTTCAATGACGAAAAAATAATGATTATATAATAATAATATACTCACACGTGACGACATGTAAGCTAAAATTTATGTTTAGTCTTTAGTGCGAGTTTTAGTTCAAAGAAGAGAAACATTTCCGTTATAAAATAAATAAATATATATATATATATATATATATATATTAATTTTATCAACATAAACAACGGGATTATTCGTACCATGCAAGCTATTCTCGTAAAAAAAATTCTCAGTGCCAAGTGTTAAACGCGGTTATAACGGATGCTGGCTCTAGTTAAATAGCACACCCTCCGACAAAAAAATCACTTTCACTTCTTAACTTTGTCTCTCTTTTTCCTCTTCCATTTCTGTCTCTTCTGGCCAGTACACCACCTCTCTCTCACACTCTCTGAGGAATCAGAGGGTGTTGAGGAGGAGGAGCTTCCATCCCTCCGCCCCGACCTACCCATCAATTAGGTACCTTAATTTTCTGCTTTTTTTTATTTATATATTTAAACTGCATGTTTCATTTCTCAGTCTTCTTGTCTATACAATTAAATTTATAGTAGAATTGATATATTTTTATTTTATTCATCTTATGATTTTTCATGGATTTTTTATGGTTGATCTCTGTGCTAATGCTATCTGGTTATTCTCCTGGGGTGTATGTTATACTGCAGTTCCTTTAGTTGCAGGCCCTGGTGTGAGAATTTACCATTCTTTTTCTGTTTGATCCTTTTTATTTTTCGTGTATTTCTTTGAATTTTTTTTTCTTCTAGAATTTTGTATTTGTATGGTTTGTTTTATTTTTTCTAAGAGTAAACTACACTAAGGGGAGGGGCGGGTTGAACCCGAAACGCAGTGGGTTGAGGAGGAAGGCCTAAACCACGGGGCAATCCACTTATGATCCGAAAAGCTGCCACCCCGAATTTCTGTATCTATGTTAAATAATGATTAAACGGTTTAACAAGTGAATTAATATGTTGCTTAGATAGGTGGAATATGTGCTGCAAACCTGCATTATAATCTAGCTATAGCATTTTGAGTTAAATCAAGAAAATCAGTAACATGGTTTTGTGAAAAAAAATGAAACTGAATAGTTGTGATCTGTTGTTACTTAGCTCTGTTCTTTGTCCTTTGGAAGTTGTTTGCAGTTGCAGGGTATGCACTTCTAACATTTAGTTTTTGTTGTAATGATCTCATGTTACTCATGTCGCTTATTGATTTTTTTTTTTCATTTGCCTTTTTGTTTTTGACTATATTTTCTTGGTTATTCGAAACATCATCTTTTGTTTTTGGTTTGTGACTGATGTTGTTGCTTTCATGCATAAGGCCCTTGTATTAGGGTTTGGCTTTGGATTTTTCCGTCTTTTTTTGTGTTGAAAGCGAAAACATGGAGATCCATTGCGTTTCTTTGTCTGTTAATTTACTTTTTTGATTCATGATCATTTAACATATATGCTTTGCTTGTCTAAGTGGTTCTGACTTCTTTAATGTATTACTTGTTATGTTTGCAGTTAATCGTATTCGTGAAATTATGTACTTTACCTTGTTTTTTCTTGCATTGAATAAAAGTTGTTATTGCTAGTTCTGTTCTTGATCTACCATATGCGACAATTGCAGGTTTAACTTACTTATTCGTAATTATCATTTGCAGAAGATTTTATTTCTTTTCAGGGTTGAGTATCATTTAAAGAGTAAAAGGGTGGTGAAGTTGACGTGGACTCCATTTAATTACCCGGTTGCTATATATTTGTATACAATCATCGTTGTTCTTTGTGTTGGTGCTGGATGGAGATCTTTGAGGAATTGGGGTTAAGTGGTGATCTTGACTTTCTTTCGGCTCCCCTCGAGGAAGATGAGGCAGCCCCAGAGCATGACCCAGAGGCAACAGTGGAGGAGGATAGCAGCGATGAAGAATTGGGGGTTGATGAGCTTGAGAAGAGGGTGTGGAAATATAGAATGCAACTGAAGCGGCTTAAGGAACAAGATAAAGGAACAGAAGGAGCTGACAATGCAAGGCAGTGCCAACCAAAGGAACAATCTCAGAGGAAGAAGATGTCACGGGCACAAGATGCAATCCTGAAATATATGTTAAGAATGATGGAAGTTTGCAAAGCCGAGGGTTTTGTTTATGGGATTGTCCCCAAAAAAGGTAAACCAGTGACTGGTGCTTCTGACAATCTTCGTGAATGGTGGAAGGGAAAAGTAAGATTTGGTCGTAATGGCCCTGCTGCAATTTCTAAGTATCTGGCTGAACATTCAATCCCTGGGAAGAATGAAGACTCCAATGCAGTGGCATCAACTCATCACACCTTACAGGAGCTCCAAGATGGCACTCTTGGTTCACTTTTGTCGGCTTTGCTTCAGCACTGCAATCCACCCCAAAGACGTTTCCCCTTGGACAAGGGTGTTGCCCCACCTTGGTGGCCCACTGGCAATGAGGAATGGTGGACTCAATTGAATCTGCCCAAGGATCAGGGTCCTCCACCATACAAGAAGCCTCATGATCTGAAGAAGGCTTGGAAGGTGAGTGTTCTCACAGCTGTGATAAAGCACATGTCGCCCGATATTGCCAAGATCCAGAAGCTTGTTCATCAGTCTAGATGTTTGCAGGACAAAATGACTGCTAAGGAGAGCACTACTTGGCTCGCCATCATTAACCAGGAGGAAAATTTGGCCCAGATGTTATATCCTGATAGATTTCCACCTCCATTGCCTCTTTGGAGTGAGTCTTTCGCAATCAGTTGTACCAGTGATTATGATGTTGAAGTGGTTGATGACGAACAGAATAATGAAGTAGAGGATTGCCAACCTCTTTTTAATCACTTCAATACTGAAACCGCTGGACAAAGAGATGTACCGATGCATCATATTAAGGGAGAGCTGGTTGAGACCAATTCGAACTTTGGTCAAAAGAGGAAGCAGCTGCCTGAAGAGCCACACATGATTCTAAATCATCAGATTTACACCTGCGAATATCTGCATTGCCCGTATCATGATTATCGCTTAGGCTTTCTCGACATAACTGCAAGAAATAATCACCAGTTGACTTGTTCACACAGGAATAATTCTTCACAAGTGTTTGGAATGTCAAACTTTAATTGTAACAGTGACAAACTTGGGGGCTCTCTACCCGCTTCCCAACCTATTCCAGCTATTCAACAACAAGTGAACCAGACAAGTTGTTTGAATGCTTCGGGACATGGAGTTGCTGGGGATGGGCAGAAAATGATATATGAGCATGTGTCATTCTATGATAGTAATATTCAGCAGAGCAAGAACTCGGATCCTGGAAGTCTCAATGGTATAGAAGACAACAACCAGCATCAGGTGAATTATCAATTTCCGATGAATGATAACTTCTTTGATCAGGGGGTGGTTATGGGACCCAACATGTCTGAACCGTCACCTATACCTATGCTTCCTCCAGCTACTCCAGCTCTCTTCTTTGATCAAGGGGTGGATATGGGACCCAATCTCTTCTTTGATCAAGGGGTGGATATGGGACCCAACATGTCTGAAGCGTCGCCTATGCCTATGTTTCCTCCAGCTACTCCATCTACCCAAGCTCCTCCAGCTCTCTTCTTTGATCAAGGGGAGGTTATGGGACCCAACACATCTGAAGCGTCATCTATGCCTATGCTTCCTCCAGCTACTCGAGCTTCTCCAGCTCCTCCAGCTCCTCCAGCTCTCTTCTTTGATCAAGGGGGGGTTATGGGACCCAACATATCTGAAGCGTTGCCTATGCCTATGCTTTATCCAACTCCTCCAGCTCTCTTCTTTGATCAAGGGGTGGTTATGAGACCCAACATGTCTGAAGCGTCACCTATACCTATGCTTCCTCCAGCTACTCCAGCTCCTCCAGCTCTCTTCCTTGATCAAGGGGTGGTTATGGGACCCAACATGTCTGGAGCGTTGCCTATGCCTATGCTGCATCCAGCTACTCCAGCTCCTCCAGCTCTCTTCTTTGATCAAGGGGTTGTTATGGGACCCAACATGTCTGAAGCGTCGCCTATGCCAATGCTTACTCCAGCTACTCCAGCTCCTCCAGCCCAATTCACAAAAACTCAGTTTGATCCGTGCAACTTATTTGATTATCCATTTGGTAACCATCCCTATAATGCTGACAACTTAGGATTTGGCACCAACTTGCCGCAAGGTGACTATAATGTTGACTCGCTGCTGGAGCAAGGTCCATTTTGGATGTGTTGAAGCTGGGTTTTCTTACTTTGACTGCTCCAATATATGAATAAGGATGTTCATATGTTAGTGGGCGGGAGAGGGAGGTTTTCTCAGCACAGTTCAGGTTTTCTAGACACAGTTCAGATTATCTCGACACAGTTCAGGTTATCTCGAGATAATTCAGGTTTTCTTTAGGTTTTCTAGACACAGTTTAGCATCCGATTGGGTGAAAGTTCTCAAGTTAGTTGTTTAGTTTCATCGGTCGGACTCTTTAGATGTTTATACCCTCAACAACTTTGGGGAGTTTCTCTAACTGCAAATTTGACATCCAAGTATAGGATACATAGTTGTTCTCAGTGCAGTACATCAGTTGAAATGGTTTAGACACAGTTTTGGGTTGATAAAGTCATCGTTGGCATTTATTTATTTAATGCAATCTGTACATACATTTATGTATGGAGAAAGACTTACACGAAACAGATTCACTGTCACAGTGACATCCGATTCTAATAAAACAATGAAATGTGTGAGTTTTTTAACACTAACATTGTATTATTGGATTAGAACATCACGTGGCAGTAAAACCATTTCATCTTGGTCACTCTCTAATATATGTTGGTCTTATACCAACAATTTTCATTCTTGCTTGTGTACTTAAATTAGGTGCCCAACTTAAATTTGTTTCTCCTTGGACAAGGACGTACATGAGGTACACAGTTATGACAGGGTCATGTGTCATTAAATAAAAGATATGTTAGGTGTCTTGTGACGGTACATACGTGTTTTAGTGTTATACGTTACATACATGTCATGTAAGTCATTTTTATATGAATTGTCCTCGTATCATTCATTCTATGAGACGAATGAAGTTGGCCCCTCCAAGCCACGATGTTTTTGTCGTATCAATCACAATGGTCTTTTGATGTTAGGAGTGCTGGGACTAGGAAAAACAAATCACTAAGAGACATAAAACGGGTCAAAGTTAGGCAAAATATTTTGAAAGGTGGTCTCTATTTTACACCATGTGTTGGCTAAACTACGTCTATATCGGCACACGTAATTATACATATTGTAAATATTATGTTATCATATACACAGGCTCTTTAAGGGAAGAAATTTCTATTTTTTTCAAAAAATGAGAATTAATTGTGGCACCCATTCTACATTGAATTTCAACGATCCGGACCGTCTATTTTGTAAGTTTCGATTCACGTATCATCTTTACAAAAATTCAATTAAATCTGAAACATCACAATGCAATTTCATTATTTTTTATAGAACAAAGTGTTCGTCAATTTCTTTAAAGTCCATTAGGTGTCTCAAATATTTCCGATTTGGCTAATATTTTGTAAGGATGATCCAAGAGATGTAATTTTAAGAATAGACAATTCAGATCGTTGAAGTTCGATGTGGTGTGAGCCCAACAATTAATCTATATTTTAAAAGAAATTGGGTGTCCCTTCCCTTAAAGGCTTCCATCGTATACATATTTCACACAATGGTTAATAAATTTGTGTATTATTATTTTAATGTACATACGTATTTATTAAAATATTTTCATTTTTTTGTCGCATTTTAATGATTCTATATTTTATGTTGTTTTACAACTCTAACGTATAATATACATATTAAACCGCACTATCCTGATGCAAGTTACTTTATTAGGGCTCTGCGTGAGAAGGAAAGAGGGTACGGGTCAAGTTTCTAAAGAAGCGAAGGTCTGCCAAGCTTTAAACATAATTTTTTTATGAAGCATTGCATCTTTTTTATCTCTCCCCCATTTTGATAGTATTTTATTTGTTTAACTATTTCATATCTACGATGAAATTTATGAAAATTGGCTCGCTATTTTGTTTTGTTATTTTGTACAACTTTTTACATTTGGTACATAGTAATTAAACATATTTTTGAATAATACACATAAAATTCACGTATTCTAGATATATTTTAACATATTAAAAATAAAAATAAATAAATAATATCAAAATTTTCAATGTATCATTCTGACAAAGTTGTCGAATAATATATACTAGCCTTCATGCACGCGCGTGAGCGCGTGCAGAAGACATTTTTTGAATCACAACGTGCTACGCGCGACTTACGCGTTTTAAATGTATTTATATGTATAAATTGACAAAAGAAAAGTCAAGTTAGATCATGCTAGAAAAAAAACCCCTCACAAACCAATCAAAGCAGCTGAATTCACATAATAAAATCGGTCTTTCAATTTCCATCTAATTCTATTGAATTTACATTAAGAATAGAAAAAATAATATTTAATAAACGACTGATTGAATCACATTATTGCTAGCCCATTGTGAGGCTAAGAGCTTAAGCCCACCCCCTCCCCCTTAGTGTAGATAATATCGTTTGTTCAAAAAAAAAAACAATCATTTGACAACTAATTTAATCACATTATTATGTGCGTACAAAAGACCTTTTTTTATAACTGGTATTACACGCCTCTTAAGATGTTTTGAACGTGTTTAAAAATAGATAAAATAATATTTAATGAATAACTAATTGAATCATATTATTACTAACCTGTTGTAAGGTACTAATTAAAAAAAATTGTACAAAAAGAATTAATTATTAAAAAAAACACTGTTACAATGATGAAAATACCACTGCATTATTTGGTGCATTATTTTGGGTTGCTTTTGAAATTTTTTGTTTAGGAGGCATTTTGTCCAAATTTTTTTTGTGAAGCTTGTGATTCTAAAAGGAGTTGTTGGCCTTATATATAAAGATGTATTTTCAACGTACTATATCTATACTTTAATTTACTAACTATGTTTCATGTAATACAACAATATTTTAGATCAAGAAGATGATAATTTGGACTGAGTCACGTGATAATAATATGATATCAAATTCGCCACAACTTAAAGTAGGAGGAAGAAAGTCAACACGTGGTTTGTAGTTTTCAGATTTTAAATGGGTGGTTAACGTGGCTGACGACTGCTTGGTTAGTGGATTGGAGGTAAAAGGATGGAAGGAAGAAGACAAGGAGGGGACACAAACTTTGATAACAGCAAATATCACCGGACTTGGATTGTCTGCCCTCTAATTGTGGTGCCCTCCCCGTGCCCTCCTGTTTTTGTGGTCACGGTTAAGCCACGTCAACATTTTATATTACTATTTCTTTTTGTTTTATTATTTTTATAAAAAAATAATATAAAATATTGACGTGGCTTAACCGTGACCACACAAAACAGGAGGGCACGGGAAGGGCACCGAAATAGGAGGGCAGACAATCCAAGTCCAATATCACCTCCCAAATTAGTTGTCTCGTACATACGTGGATGGGAATGATTAACCCAAATTGTGATTTGAAAAGTCATCAAGGCTTTTATGGTAAAAGCCTCTCCGTTAATCTATATTATTATTAAGAGAACCCTCATTGTCAACATTTTTGCCCACTTTTTCCAATTTTGCCCCTCACTTTTGAATACACAATGTTGAGATGAGGAGGGCAAAATAGTAATTTTGTACCTTTTGACAAAAAGACAATAATATCCATAAAAAGAGAGGTTAACGGTAGTTGGCAAAGTGTGAAATTGACTGCCCCACTTCCTCTTCAAAGTGCGAAAAATGAGGGGAGAGATAGGGAAGAACAAAAGGCAGCAAGGCAAGAAAGTAAAAGCGAAACAAAAAAGAAAGAAAGAGGAGAGGAGCACAGAAGGGTTGATGGCAAGGAGGAAAGAAAAACTGATGAAAGCCCCTGAATACAAGCTCAAACACATCAAAGAAACAAAACTCGATCAAAAAACAAAAAATGGCGATGGCGTCGAAGACAAACACAGTGTTTGCCTACACGTTGGTTTACGTGAAGGATGTTGCCAAATCCACAACCTTTTATTCCAAAGCCTTTGGCTACGATATTCGTCGCTTGGACGACTCCAACAGGTACATACATGTTTTTAGGGAAATTATTTTCTCACATCATTTTTCTTTTCAATTGTCTGTCATGTACCTATTAACTGCATATACAGCGGTTTTGTAAATAATCATGAAGAAATTTAATAATTTATGATAGTGATGGTGATGATATTAATTGTTGATAGGTGGGGGGAGTTGGAAAGCGGCCAAACGACGATAGCATTCACATCGATACACCAACAAGACCGATGATCTAACAGGTGACATCCAGACCCCAAGCTCCGGCCGCGAGAGGTAGCCGATTGAGGTTTGCTTTGCGTACGGTGACGTTGATGCTGCCTGTAAGGTAAAATCGTAATTAGCTGCCTTAACATGAAGGATACCATATTCTGGTTTAAAACTCTTTTTTATCTTTCTTGGTTTTGGCTTTTGTTTTTCTATTGTGCAGAAACCATGAAGAGACACCCATCACGAGGATTTCAAACCAGAGTAGAAAGCCATAAGCCTCTGGAGACCTGTAAAAACAACAAGTGTGAGCCTGCGAAGTGGGAAAGTGGCAATAAGCACGAACCTGCAGCGAAGGAAGACAAAAAATAAAATGAAATTGTTCACACACACAAAGTGTATGCTTATCTGCTAGTTATGATTAAGTAAATTGTTTAAAGTAATCTATCTAATTGGTTGTTTGGACCTTCTTGGAAAGAAAGGGTTTCCATTAGAGCCCAAACCGTCCAATCGGGGGCTCGCTCAAGCAATTGCTTTCTAGCATGTTTGGACGCTTCCCTTTTCCATTGTGACTTTTATTGGTTTTACAGACAATTCTACTCTGCATTCACTCACACCATACTACCATATACCATAGCTAAAATGTCAATTTCAAGTGTAAGAAACTTGTAGCTCAAATTCACTTGTGTTTGTTTGGCTTTACAAACAATCATTAGACTAGACTAGATTAATTATTAGTCTACAAAAAGCTAGAAGAAAGATAACCGGGGCCGGGAATCGAACTATTAAATAAAAATAAGGACCGATGAGACCTTTATATTATAATCTTACCATAGGTACTTTGACGGCGAAAGAGGCGAAAGAAGCAATCCATAGAAAGATTTGGCGCCGCTCACTAAATTCTGTGGTTAATAATATATTTGTAAATCTGTGGTTCCTGTCCTGGGCATATTTTCCTTGATTCACAAAGGTGCTACCTTCTTTCTTATAATATAAGAAATCCCAATTCTGTGTTTATTCTGTGCTAGGATTAAGATTAATGAGACTAAAGAGGACTCGCAGGGACAAACCTATTCGCTAAGAGGTCTTAGTAAGACCCCCAATAACCATGAGACTGTTAAGACCTCCATCCGCTTCATTTGCTCTCTACTTTCATGCCCACATTGGTTGCTTTCTATCCTCAATCTAGTGAAATCACACCACCAAACCACCACATTCTCTCCCTCTCTCCTCGTTCTGGTCAACTACTACGGTGTCTTCCTGAGAGAGCTTTAAAAATGTAAAATACTGGCAGTTGGGCCTTCTAGCTTTTCTTGTATGAGGGTAGAGCTCATTGCTACCTTTGACACTGCCAAATAGATGTATAAGTCCGCTAATACTTCCAGCTTGGATAGTAGGGGAGGTGATGCCAGGTACTTGCACAAGTCCTAAAATGCTTTCTCAAACTTGTCGTCTTACTTGTCTCGTTATGCCTTCTTCATTGCCTTGAAAAAAGGCTTGCATCGATTGGTGGACTGCAAGAGGAAACGGTTGAGTGCGACCGCTCGTCCAGCCAGACTTTGGATCTTTCAAGGCAGTGAGGGACTTCATATCTAGGATCGCTCGGATCTGCTTTGGGTGCGCTTCGATTCCTCGTTGGGTCACAAGGTACCCCTAAGAATCTACATGAGGATACTCCGAACGTGCATTTGTCAGGGTTGAGTTTCATCTTGTACTCCTTGAGGATGTTGAATGTATTCGTCAAGTTATCGATATAGTCTGACCGCTGCTTACCTTTCACCATGATATCATCGACGTAGACCTCCATAGTTAGTCCAATTTGCTTATTGAACATCATGTTTACTAGTCATTGGTAAGTAGCTTCTGTGTTCTTGAGGCCAAAAGGCATAACCTTGTAGTAGTATGTGCCCTGCTTTATCAGGAATACGGTATTCTCCTTGTTAAGCTCATGCATTGCAATCTAATTGTAGCCTAAGTATGTGTCCAAGAAACTAAGCAGCTGGTGCCATGATTGTATGGATCATAATCTCTTAATATCCTGCTTGATCTTTTCTTTTTAGTCCCTTCTGGAATGATCTTATCTATTAGCCCTTCTGGACTTGCATACTCTTCCTTAGGTCTTTCTTGGCTTAATAAACCCATCAACTCTGCTGAGTGGAGGTAACATAGCACATTGTTTTACATGAGTCCATCAAGTGAGGCATGGTGCGCACATTAACCTATCAAATCTGTCATATGCAAGGTGTGATTTAATGCTTAACCCACACGAGGGTTGAATGTTGGCAACGCCTTAAGGGTACTTCTGTCAATCTGGTCTAGCCTAGTACACGTGGTTTTCATTTTGGGACCGGTGAAATTTGGTTACTACATACATAGTACAAAATTAGCACATTTTTGCTTTACATAGAGGTAAATTATTAACAAATACGTATGGACAATAAATAAGAAATTTTTAAAAGAAAACTATAACCTTCTAAATATATAGAAAAATGAAAACTGGCCCAAATGTCATCAACCTGGTAACCATGTAAGGAAATGATATTCCCATTGAATATCTGTAAAGAATCACAATTAACTGGACAAATTAACGTACAAAAGAGCATGTGATGTAATGATTTATAACTTTATGGCTTTTCCTTGTGGCAATTAACTTTTTTTATTGTTTTACTTTTGTTTCTTTTATTTTACTTATTTAATAAATTATTGTTTATATTAAAATGTATTTAAAAAAATAATGTGCGTAATCACTCATAGTCCCACTACGTGGGGTTGTGAACTTGTTATATTTTGAAATATTAATGAGATAAGGGTAATTTAGGTATTATGAAAATTCACTATTTTTGTCTTCTCTTTTATTTATACTAGCCTTCACGCTCGCGCTCACACGCGTGCAGAAGACGTTTTTTGAAGTACAGCGTCGCGCGACTTACACGTTTTAAATGTATTTATATGCATAAATTGACAAAAGGAAAGTTAAATATTTGAAGTAAATGAATCATTTTAGATCATGCTAGAAGAAACCCCTTATAAACCAATTAAAGCAGTTGAATTCACATAATAAGATCGATTTCTATATAATTTACATTAAGAATAGAGAAAATAATATTTAATAAATAATTGATTGAATCACATTATTGCTAGCCAATTGTGAGGCTAAGCCCACCCCCATCCTCTTAGTGTAGATAATATCATTTGTTAAAAAAATCATTTGACAATTAATTTAATATTCCTCATAAACCAATTAAAGCAGTTGAATTCACATAATAAAATCGGTCTCTATATACTTTACATTAAGAATAGAGAAAATAATATTTAATAAACAATTGATTGAATCACATTATTACTAGCCCATTGTGAGGCTAAGTCCACCCCTTCCCCTTAGTGTAAATAATATCGTTTGTTAAAAAAAAAAACAATCATTTGACAACTAATTTAATCACATTATTATTCGTTTGCGAAATACCTTTTTTATAACTGGCATTACACGCATCTTAAGATGTTTTGAACGCGTTTAAAAATAGAGAAAATAATATTGAATGAACAACTGATTGAATCATATTATTGATAGCCCATTGTGAGGCTAAGCTCACCATTTCCCCCTTAGTGTAGATAATATCGTTTGTTTAAAAAAATTTATTTGGCAACTAATTTAATGTAATTTAATCACATTATTATCAGCATGTGAAAGATTTTTTTTATAATCAGCATTGCACGTCTCTTAAGATGTTTTGAACGGCTTGGTAACACCAAAATCACTATTTGTGACAACCCGTTCCAAAAATTTCGTTTTCTATTTATTTTAATCGAGGGAATTGATGAAAATACCCTAGAAGCGAGGTCATTGACTGTAGTTGACCATCTTTTAGTAACTCGTATGTGTTATTATTTGTCGTACTTTCGAAGTACTCGACGATACGAACACGTAGGTGTAAGCGGAAGCAAAAGCAGAACTATGGATAAAATTTTATGAGACTTCGAGTACCGAAGTCAAATAGATAAATTTCATAATTGGGAAATATTTTTGTGACTTGGTTTTTGGGAGCCACGTGAGTGGCTGTAAAAGAAAAAGAGAGAGGAAAAAGGGTTGTTGCCCAATCGAAAAAGGGAAGGGAAGAAGGAGACCTAGGAGGGTGGATAGACCAACCAGGAGAAGAGTAAGGAGAGTCTAACCAATCAGGAAGAGAAGAAAGAAGGAGAAAGGAAAGAAAAGAGAAACGGGGAATCACGACCCGCGAATGGGTAACCCGACCCGGTTGGTGTTCTTGCCATTTCCGACGAGTTTTGGCCCATTTTTCCTACGAATTGCACCAAACCAACCCTTGTAAAACCCTCCATGACCTTCCATCTTCCTATTACACCCCTAAAATCAAGGGTTTTGGCTTTGAAATTGGGAGAAACCGCACGGAATGGTGCAGCGGGTTTGGGTTCAATTTACCTAAATCTGAAACTAATCACACCCATCTCTACCACCATTAAACTTCCCTTGAGGTATGTAACAAAGCCCAATCAGTTGTAGGGGCGGCGGATCGTCAAGGAGGAAGAATCGAAGCACACCCACACTTAGGGTTCCGACGGATTTTAGCTAAATTGGAGCTTTTCCCGGCCAAATTAGACTTGGCCGCATGTATAAAGTTAACTCTACTCATTGAGATATTCATTCCTGTAAATTTTGGTAATTTTTGGAAATAGTTGGATTTTCCGGCGAGTCGGGGCTACCGACCGCCACGTGTGGCTACGCGTGCGGCTGGCTGAGCGTGGCCAGGGGGCCGTCGATGTTATTCTTAGGCTAACTAGATGCTTTGAGTTCATTTTTGGTAATTGTATGACATAGGTTGATTGTTAGAATCTAAATTCTCTACGTTACATTAATAGGTCATTCTATAAATCGACGATTTGACTGTTGGATCGTTACCAAACTTTAATATGTTATAGTATGTAATATTTGAGAACCATAAAAACTTATGGATCGGGAATCCGACTACGGATCTTCCCGAATTGGATTTGTAAGTTCATAAAACTTATGGATCGGGAATCCGACTACGGATCAGAAATCTGTGATGCAGATCTTCCGAATTGAATAATTTATCGGTTAGAACTCTGAGATGTGATTTGATAATTGGTCATAGGCGACGATGGTTCGTGATGTCTCGACATGCGTGCTAGGGAGTCGTGGCACGGACCTCAGGTGAGTGGGTCTTTTCCATTCTATCGCGTATTATATATATGTATATATATGATTGACAATTCCATAAATGTTTATAAATTGATTATTGCTTATGATTACTGTGAATGCTTTGAAGTACTATGCGAACTACGAATGACTTGATCCCTGTTTAAGGTACGTAGGCAGTCTAACGAGACGTTAGATGCAGCCATACAATATTTGAAACAAAAACCTTGTTTGCGAGTTGAGCAATATGAAGGAAATTGGTGAAAATATGAGACTTAACCTTATGTTTTTAGTGATTGGATGTTGATCATAAATCAATGTGGAAGGAATCAAGGAAACGTAAGTAATGATAGTTAATTAAACTAGTGTTTAGTTGGACCTATCCCCGATAATCATTTCTGAAAATAAATAATTCGGGAGTAGGGCGTTATAGATTATGCATTTTGTGCCACATTATATATATATATATTGGAAAAATACTATGATATGGTTGAGTTTTAGATTGCATTATGGCATATCCATGTGTATACTACCTGCACAAAATTATTATGAATGCTTTGAAGTACGAAGATGAATGCGGAACCCACATGTAAGTTTAGGTGAGTTATGGTATTAGTTGAAATGATTGAGTTATGGCATGATCACATTATGTTTTAGGCAACTCCGACATTGTCGTACAAGTTGCCTATGAGATGTATATATCACATGAGATGCATTTAGAGCTCATAAACCTGCACCCCGGTGTTAGTGCTCCCGTCTGTGGCCAGGACACAGTCCTTCACGTGATGTTCAGCTCCCGCACCTTACGTTTACCTTGGATCTAAGGTAGATGCACATGCCTGTCGTATAGACCACTATAGATGGTTCCGACTCGTAGGTGATCTGTAATTATTCGCAGTCTTCACGTGATCGTAGCACTTGAGCGTATTTATTTACACCCAGTCCTGTCGTACAGACCACCTTAAGTGGTTCCGACTCGTGTGCAGGTATACTTATGAGATATGGATAAGTCGTACAAGTCACTATAGGTGACTCCCGACTTATGAGTTAGCATGTGATGAGATATGGATAAGTCGTACAGGTTACTATAGGTGACTCCCGACTTATGAGCTAGCTTATGTGATGAGATATGGATAAGTCGTACAGGTCATTAGAGGTGACTCCCGATTTATGAGCTAGCATATGTTATGAGATATGGATAAGTCGTACAAGTCACTATGGGTGACTCCTGACTTATGAGCTAACATATGTGATGAGATATGGATAAGTCGTACAGGTCACTAGAGGTGACTCCCGACTTATAAGCTAACATATGTGATGAGATATGGATAAGTAGTACATGTCACTATAGATGACTTCGACTTATGAGTTAGCATTGATTAATAAGATATGGGTGCAATCGTACAGGTCACCATAGGTGACTCCGACTTGCGTGCTAGTATGAATTATTAATCACATGATTATTGATATTGTTGATGAGATGCTGCATTGTGGTATATTTATGGTTTACTGTTGATATACTTTTGATTTCACATTGATACGTGGTATGATTTTTTGGAAATTATACAGATGTTGCAGCGATGAGTTATAATGTTGTAGATGGTTTCTATTTAAATTTCATTTCTAGGGCCACTCACCCTTGTTTTGTTTTCACCCTCCAGGTTTTATTAGCTGAGCTTTCTTATCATTGAAGATTTGTGGCGTTCTTAGTATTGGAGATTCTCTCGAGGGTACGATTCTTAATCCATTTTATTGTATTTACATATGATCTAACGTCACGTGTGAAGTGGGTTTATTCCCGCTTACCAGCGCACTTTGGTATTTAGGCACTCTTAGGTTTAAATTTATACACATTTTCTCACATCTTCGCACTTTATGACTTCGTCACCTTCCAGGTGTCGGCCAGCGCAGCTCGATTCGAAGTCCTAGTGGACATTCCGGGTCGGGGTGTGTTACTATTCACAACATATGATTGAATCACATTATTGCTAGCCTATTTTAAAAAAATAAAAAAAATAAAAATAAAAAACTTTACTAATTTATCACCAGCACTACACATCTCATAAAATGTTTTAAACACAATATTCATGATTTTCCTTATTTTTTTTATTATATTTTTCTTTCCCATTCACATGGGCACCATCAACTTTCACTTATCCTTTCATTTTTTTTATTCTTTTCTATCTTCACACTTATATTTATATTATATTTATGATGATGAAATTACCGAATTACCCCTGCATTATTTGATATATTATATTGGGCTGCTTTTGGATTTTTTTGGTTGAGGGGCAATTTTGTCCTAATTTTTTTGTCGAATGGGGTGACCCCAAAATTTTGTCACCATGTGTGACCCCAGATTGGGGCTCTCGCTTAATATATAACTAGCCCTCACGCGCGTGCAGAATGCATTTTTTGAATCACGGCGTGCTACTCGCTATTTACATGTTTTAAATGTATTTATATGCGTAAATTAACAAAATGAAAGTTAAATATTTGAAGTAAATGAATAATTTTAGATCGTGCTAGAAGAAACCTTTCATAAATCAATTAAAGCAGCTGAATTCACATAATAAAATCGGTTTCTATAGAATTTACATTAAGAATAGAGAAAATAATATTTAATAAATATTTGATTAAATCACATTATTGTTAGCCCATTGTGAGGCTAAGCTCACCCATTCCCCCTTCGTGTAGATAACATCGTTTGTTAAAAAAAAAAAACAATCATTTGATAACTAATTTAATCACATTATTATCCGATTGCGAAAGACATTTTTTATAACTGGCATTACACTCGTCTTAAGATGTTTTGAACGCGTTTAAAAATAGATAAAATAATATTGAATGAACAACTAATTGAATTACATTATTGATAGCTCATTGTGAGGCTAAGTCCACCCCCTCCCCTTTAGTGTAGATAATATCGTTTGTTTAAAAAAAAATCATTTGGCAACTAATTTAATGTAATATAATCACATTATTATCAGCATGTGAAAGATTTTTTTTTATAACCAGCATTACACGCCTTTTAAGATGTTTTGAACGGCTTGGTGACACCAAAATCACTATTCATAATATTTGATTGAATCACATTATTGCTGGCCTATTGTAAGATACTAATTTAAAAATAAAAATTAAAAAAAAAACTTTACTAATTTATCACCAGCACTACGCGTCTTTTAAAATGTTTTAAACACAATATTCATGATTTTTCTTATTTTTTATTATATTTTTCTTTCTCCTTCACATGGGTACTATCAACTTTCACTTATCCTTTCATTTTTTTTATTCTTTTCTCTCTTCCCACTTATATTTATATTATATTTTATGATGACGAAATTACCGAATTACCCCTGCATTATTTGATATATTATATTGGGCTGCTTTTGGATTTTTTTGGTTGAGGGGCAATTTTGTCCTAATTTTTTTGTCGAATGGGGTGACCCCAAAATTTTGTCACCATGTGTGACCCGGGCTTTCGCTTAATATATAAATAGCCCTCACGCGCGTGCAGAATGCATTTTTTGAATCACGGCGTGCTACTCGCTATTTACACGTTTTAAATGTATTTATATGCGTAAATTGACAAAAGGAAAGTTAAATATTTGAAGTAAATTAATAATTTTAGATCGTGCTAGAAGAAACCTTTCATAAATCAATTAAAGCAGCTGAATTCACATAATAAAATCGGTTTCTATAGAATTTACATTAAGAATGGAGAAAATAATATTTAATAAACATTTGATTAAATCACATTATTGTTAGCCCATTGTGAGGCTAAGCTCACCCCTTCCCCCTTAGTGTAGATAACATCGTTTGTTAAAAAAAAAAAAAACAATCATTTGATAACTAATTTAATCACATTATTATCCGATTGTGAAAGACATTTTTTATAACTGGCATTACACGCGTCTTAAGATGTTTTGAACGCGTTTAAAAATAGAGAAAATAATATTGAATGAACAACTAATTGAATTACATTATTGATAGCTCATTGTGAGGCTAAGTCCACCCCCTCCCCTTGTGTAGATAATATCGTTTGTTTAAAAAAAAAATCATTTGGCAACTAATTTAATGTAATATAATCACATTATTATCAACATGTGAAAGATTTTTTTTTATAACCAGCATTACACGCCTTTTAAGATGTTTTGAACGGCTTGGTGACACCAAAATCACTATTCATAATATTTGATTGAATCACATTATTGCTGGCCTATTGTAATATACTAATTTAAAAATAAAAATTAAAAAAAAACTTTACTAATTTATCACCAGCACTACGAGTCTCTTAAAATGTTTTAAACACAATATTCATGATTTTTCTTATTTTTTATTATATTTTTATTTCCCCTTCACATGGGTACTATCAACTTTCACTTATCCTTTCATTTTTTTTATTCTTTTCTCTCTTCCCACTTATATTTATATTATATTTTATGATGACCAAATTACCAAATACCCTACATTAGTTGATATATTATATTGTGCTGCTTTTGGATTTTTTTGGTTGAGGGACAATTTTGTTCTAAAATTTTTGTCGAATAGAGTGACCTCAAAATTTTGTCGTCATGTGTGACCACAAATTGGGGCTCTCGCTTAATACATAATAGATAGATAGATAATAGTAATGTATAATATCCACTTAGTATTATATTAAAAAAATAAAATAAAAATGTATACATAAGTAAAAAGTCTACTCTTGTGCGATGAGTTTCAAAATATAAATACAAGCTTGTTAATCTACTAAACATAAAGTAAAGTTTGCTTTGACCAAACATAAATATCAATGACTTGACTATTTGAATGCGCACGTTTCGTAAAGGCATCAAGTGACTTAAGGGAGAGAAAGTATATAATTATGTCAGTAAAGTTGTATAATTTACTAAATGAGAAATCTTAAAAGAGGTTATCAGAAAAGTTGAACTATTCGTACTTTCTATCACTTTATATTTTTTACACATGTTTTATAATGTTAATACGAAAATTGATGTTAAATATGAAGTGACAAAAGATCCATAAAATATTCTTTAAGCTCACAATTTTTTTTAAATGTAAATAATGTCGTTTGTTTATAAAAAATAAATAAAAAAATAAAAAACCCAAAAGGTTTACCCCACGTCTTAACCACGGTTAAAACGTAACCTAATCCTAATTAAATAAGTTCACCTTCGAAAAAGGAAAGCCACTGTTCATATCCTTGTCCCTACACAGCCAGCCAGCCAGCCACCGCTCTATCTTTTCCTCTCACGTTCTTCTTCCATTAACAAAGGAAAAGAAAACCCACTAAACTCTCTCTCTCCCTCTCTCTCCTCTGACCAGAAGAGGAAAAAAATTCTCTCTTTTTTTCTGTCTGTCTTTCTCTCTCTGAGTAATCAGGGAGTGCTTGAGGAGCTTCAGTGCCTCCTACCACCTCATGATATCCATCAATCAGAATCAGGTACCTTCATTTTCTGTTTTTTTATTTTTTTTTATTTTTTTTTTATGTTGTTTCATTTCTGATTGTTGTGCTTATTGGGTTTATGTTAACATGTTCTTATCTGCATAATTAATTCATTAATTAATATATGTTTGTTGTTAAATCTTGTGACTTTTCAAGGTTTATGATGGTTGATCTGATTGCTTCTACTGTATCTGATATGTAGCACACTCTAGGGTTCTTCTGTTATTCATTTGCATCTACATGTGATAGTTTTTATCTGGGTCTTGTTTTAGTCGTTTACCGTATATCAAAAAAAAAATATATATATATATATATATATTGTTTTTTGTATTTTTTGTTTGATCTTTTTATTTGCAGGGTTTTTTCTGCTTTGTTTTGTTTTAAGCTTTTGTTCCATAAAATTTGAATGTGATCAGTTTGAATCTGGATGGAGGGATGCGTTTGAACAGACTTTTGATCGAGTATTAGACTCTCCGGGTGTTCTAACTGTTAGATCTTTGTTTTAAAATACAAAAACCAAGATCTAATGATTAAAACACGAGTATCCATTTTCTGGAGCACCCTAGGATTTTTTATCTGAATTTTCGGATTTATATTAAATGATGATGAAAAAGTATTAATAAGTGAATTGTGTTGCTTAGATATGCGATAATTTGCTGTAAACCTGTGTTATAAGCTATATCAGTTTGTGTAAACAAAATTTAAAAACCCAAAACTTGGTCCTTTCAATACTCATCAATAACGTGTTATTGTAAGGAAATGAATCTGGATGATAGTAGATCTGGAGATCCCTGGCTCTCTTCATGTTAGCGGTATTCGCAGTTGCAGGGTATTACGTGTAACTTAAATTTGGATTTTATTGTGACTACCTCGTGATTTTCGTGATGATGATGGATACCTTGTTTTCCTTTTTGTTGTTTTCTCTTTTTGCTCGGTTATTCGAGTGCCACTTTTGGTGCTTGTAGTGACGAGGACCATGTGTTGGGATTATCTTTTGGTTCTTTTTTTGCTTACGTTTTTCATGTGAAAACAAGGAGATCCGTTACGTTCCTTTGTTTGCTTGCTGCTTTAGTTGTTTGGTTTGATACCCATTTAATTTATGGCATGATTGTGTAAGTGGATCCGACTTCTTTGTTGTGTTACTGGTTTGTGCTTAATCGTATTCATAATATTATGTACTTTAATTGAATTATCATTACTTTTAGTTCTATGTACCTGATTTATGATTTGCGACAATTGTGGGGTTAACTGATTTATTGTAATTTATTGTAGTTGCAGCATTGACATTTCGGGGTTTAGCATCCTTGATCGGCAAATCTTGGCTTTCAGAAATTTAAAGCTAATAACTGTGCGCAAGAGGAAATCTTATAAGGACTGTGTCGGTCCTAATGGGGATCTTTGAGGAAATGGGTTTCTGTGGTAATCTTGACTTTCTTACGGCGCCATCTGGGGAAGGTGATGCAGCTCCAGAGCATGAACCAGAGGCAGCAGTGGAGGAGGATTATAGTGATGAAGAAATGGATGTTGATGAGCTTGAGAGGAGGATGTGGAGAGATCGAATGCTATTGAAGAGGTTGAGAGAACAAACTAAGGGAAAGGAAAGGGTTGACAATGCAAGACAGCGTCAGTCACAGGAACAAGCTCGAAGGAAGAAGATGTCACGGGCACAAGATGGAATCCTGAAATATATGCTGAAAATGATGGAAGTTTGCAAAGCTCAGGGTTTTGTTTATGGAATTATCCCTGAAAAGGGAAAACCAGTGAGTGGCGCCTCTGACAATCTGCGAGCATGGTGGAAGGAAAAAGTAAGATTTGATCGTAATGGTCCGGCTGCAATTTCTAAGTATCAGGCAGATCATTCAATCCCTGGGAAGAATGAAGACTGCAGTGCAGTGGTATCTACTCCTCACACTCTACAGGAGTTGCAAGACACCACTCTTGGTTCACTTTTGTCGGCTTTGATGCAGCACTGCGATCCACCCCAAAGACGTTTCCCCTTGGAGAAAGGTGTTGCCCCACCTTGGTGGCCTACTGGTAATGAGGAATGGTGGCCTCATTTAAATGTTCCCAAGGATCAGGGTCCTCCCCCATACAAGAAGCCTCATGATCTGAAGAAGGCTTGGAAGGTGAGTGTTCTTACGGCTGTGATAAAGCACATGTCACCCGATATCGCCAAGATCCGCAAGCTTGTTCGTCAGTCCAAGTGTTTGCAAGACAAAATGACTGCTAAGGAGAGCGCCACTTGGCTAGCCATTATACACCAGGAGGAAGCTTTGGCGCGAAGGTTATATCCTGATAGATGTCCACCTCCACCGGCTGGTGGTGGCGGGTCTCTTGCAATCAGTGGTACCAGTGATTATGACGTTGAGGGTGTTGATGATGACGAAAATGTTGAAATAGAGGATTGCAAACCTCTTCTTAATCACTTCAACATTGGAACTGCTGGTCAAAGAGAGAGGCTGGTGCCTCAGATTAAGGGAGAGCTGATTGAGATCAACTCGGATTTTGGTCAAAAGAGGAAGCAGCTGTCTGAAGAACCACAAATGATGTTAAATCAGAAGATTTTCACCTGCGAATATATGCAGTGCCCGTATCATGATTATCGCCTAGGCTTTCTCGATATAACTGCAAGAAACAATCACCAGTTGAATTGTTCATTCGGGAGTAATTCTACACAAGTGTTTGGAATGTCAAGCGGAATGTCAAGCTTTCAGCTTCACAATGAGAAACCTGTGGGATTCTCTCAACCCATTGCTCAACCACCTGCACCAGCAAGTCAACCACCAGTGAACCAGGCAAGTAGGTTTAATGCTTCGGGACTTGGACTTGTCGATAATGGTCAGAAATCTGAGCTTATGTCATTTTATGATAGTAATATTCATCAGAATAAGAACTGCAATCCTGCAAACCTCCATATCGTAGATAACCGCAACCAGCAGCAGTCAAAATATCAGTTTCCAATGAATGATAACTTTTTTGGTCAAGGGATGGATGTAGGACGCAACATCAACATGTCTGAACTGGCCCCTATGCCTATGCTTCATCCAGGTTTTGCATCCCCGGAAGTTCAGTTTGATCAGTGCCTGGCATTTGATTCTCCATTTGGTAACAATACCAATGAAAATGTTGACATAAGATTTGAGTCCCCCTTGCACTTGGCACCGGCTGATTATAATGTTATGGACCAGCCGCCGAAGCAAGATGCATCCCTTTGGTTCCAATGAAGTGGGATTCTCTCATATTGACTGCTCCAATATATGTGTTGGAGTTGCACAGTTGCGGACCAAATAGGTGAAGTTTCTTTTTTAAGTTTAGTTGCTCTTCTTGTATGTCGGACTTGTTAGGTTCTTTTAGACTGTTCCAATCTATGGGGGTGGGGTCATTTGTTCTGGAACGAATAGACGAAGCTTCTTTTCATGTTTAGTTGCTTATACGTCTGTCGGAACTCCTTAGATGTTTATAACCCTCAAAAACTCGGGGGTTCTCGTACTGCAACTTTCTCATTTAAGTATAGGTTATCTAGTTGCAGTATTGAGTAGACCCAATAAAGGACCGGAAAACGCAATCTGATGTTCTGTGGTTGGAAACATTTTTCCGGTTTCTGAAAGTCAATGTTGGCATGTAGTTAAGTAATGTATACTCAGAAGACATCTATATATGTGGTGGTTTTTATGTACCTTTTGCTTTGTTTCTTCTGCTATCAACAGTATTCATTCTATGTGCTAGATTTGCGTGCTATCAACTATTCTTCCTGTACATTGCATCACGTACACTGATGTACTGGACGAATCTTTATTGTCGAAATTTCTACAGTGCATCGATGTATGGAGTGCATCGCTTTAGTGGGTGCTGGATGGCTAGATTTGCATGCTTTAAAACATTCCTATGTAGTCTTGTTGCATAAGCAATGCCCGTATCATGGTGAGAGAAACTTACACATTGCGATGAGAGGTGAATTGGTGGCTATGCTGAAATTGCACCATGCAGAGAGACTCACATGCAACCAAGTATCTTGACCTTATTAAGTGTCGTTGTCATCATTTGCTTTAACTTATTCATGTACCGTTGAAATTGCACCACGCAGAGAGACTCACATGCAACCAAGTATCTTGAGCTTATTAAATGTCGTTGTCGTCATTTGCTTTAACTTATTCATGTACCGTTGTGTGATTGATTATGAATATTGTCGGTCACATCAGCATTCTGGATACATCTCCCTTTTTATTTATTCAAATTGTTAGATTCTCTTCACCAAATAAATGATAACGATTGACAATAGTAAAAACATGAAAAGGAAAGATGAATTCTCTTCTCATTGACTCTTGAGTCTCCCTATTCTTATTTAGGTCTAGATCAAGTCGTATACGCATAGAAAACAAGCAAGAAAGAAAGTAATCAGTTACTACTGGTGCTGCTATAAAACATCATCCTTCACCCCAAGCAGCCAAGGCATCTGCGGGCACCGCCGTTCCGTTCCCTTCTGTTTCGTTGACGATAGTTCATCATATTCGCATTCTTCCTCTTCCCGATTCACGACATCCGCACACCCAGCCTCGGGATTGCAATGACTATCTATTCGATTTGTGGCTTGACAGAGTGAGCTTTAGGTAACTTCTTTTCATTTGTTGGGGTTTGGCCTCTGTCTCTTTTACTTGAGCCTCAAGAGATATGTTTAAGATGGGCTTCCTATAAATCACACTTGTTCCAGATATATGCACAGTGCGGCTTGTAAGCCCAAATCGTTTTGTAAAAAAATCAAATTAGTGTAAAGATATTTTTGTCATTTTATTTATAATTCAATCAATTTTGAAAATCTAGTTAAACAAAACCTGCACCAAATTTATTTGTTTCTCTCAATCATTGTCCCAATCTTTGTGAAGCATCCACTTTGCAGTATATATACACACACACACACTAGTAACGGTGCCCGCGCGATGCTGCGGGTTTTTAAATAGCATACAACATGTAGAAAGTTATATTTACAACTCTGCTTAACTCAATCTATTTACAACTCTGTCTAACTCAATGAATAGATAAAAGTTTGTTTCTTACCGAAATATACGAATTTGAATGAAATGTTTCAAAGTATAGAGTGGAGCAAACCTTGTAATTTCTGTAAGGTGGGCAGCTGCAATACCAATAGTGATATAATTTGACGGAATCTGGCTGTAATCCAACTTGGTTGTTCTTTGTAAATTTGTTGGAAAATGTACTAGTTGGCTTGAAAATAACAATCAAGACCGTTGAACGAATGAAACCTGAATGATATCAAATCCAATCCAGATACAAAAGATTAAAACCTGTTTCCTTACAGATAGACAAAAAATATTACAGTGATTGATTAGATTCTAACACTTGCACCTACCTCTCAAGTGGAACCAACATTTACATACAAAAAATTAATGAATGCTGGGTGACATGGGATGCAAAACCTTGTATAAATACTATCAAGAGATGTTCCCTGATGGATCTAACTCTCCAATATCGTCAAATTCAAGCTGGAAAGTTAGCAGGCATGCAGGCACAGAAATGGATAATGCAAGGATGGTTGGTTCCATACTCAGAATGAATATTTAAGTACTGCAACTTTTCATTAAGTTAATAAAATTCTCACCAATAAATATTTAAGTACTGCAACATTTAATGTATTGTTGTTAATGAATTTGCTAAACAATTTCTTACAAACATATTAAGCGCAAGAAAGCCTTCTCTTTGATTCTTTATTTATTATTCTCTATTTTCTCTGCTCTAATTTAAACACCAGATTCATCCCAGAACAGAAAATAGGGAAAATTAAGCGGAAAAAAATAGAAAGAAAAAAGACATACCTGAAACACAACCAGCATGAAAACGCCAACACAACAGCTAGGAGAACGAACAACATCGTTTTCCTGAAAATACAAAACAAAACCAAATCATACACCCATGATCACAACCACGACATAGAAACAAAAAAAAGCAGAACACCGTTTGCTAAAAATAAAATGAGAATCAAACCACACAGTCACACTTACAATCCCAACACAGAAAGAAAACCCTATTATTCTGTAAGTCTCACCCCCATAAAAAATTCAAAGGAAATAGTTGACTCTAAGCCTTCAAAATTCAAACAAAAGACCTAACTCTAAATACAAATTAAAAACAAAAAAGGGCAAAAAAAGGGCAACCAACTCGAAACCTTGAAAATCAACTGAACCCAAATTCAAACAAAAGACCTAACTCTAAATACAAAATTAACAATACAAAAAAAAGGGCAACCAAAAAGACACACAACTAACCAGAAAATGGCAAGACTTGAAACGCAAAGAAGGCGGCGTGCGAAACGCTGGACCAAGGATGAGAAGACGAAGACAGAAAACTGAAGACGAAACAAAAAGAGGCTAAAGAGAAGCAGAAAAACGAAAGGAAAAAGTAAACAAAGAGAGGAGTGAAAACGAAACAAAAAGGGAAAAATCCTCTCAATAGAAACATTGCCGATGATCAACACATGGAAAGCATGTATTTTTCAATACATGCAGCAAAAAAAAAAAAAGACCAGAGGCGGAGGAATGAGAGATGCGCATGCAGCAAGGACAAAACGGTCAAATCACTGTACAAAATCAGCACTAAAACGAAGAGGAAGGAAAAAATTAGGGGCATTCTCGCCATTTTACTGCTCTAGAACAGTACCAAGGGAGTTTGAGTTTTAGTATATATAAATACAGAAATTCTTTAACAAGAGGGATCCTCATTTTTCTAAAAAAAATGGGGACACCCTCTTGACCGTTCGATTTGACTTTAATGAAATTGTGTGGTTGAGATTGTATGGCCTATGATTTAATTTCAACCACACAATTTCATTAAAGTCAATCCAACGGTCAAGAGGGTGTTCCCAGATCCCTCTTGTTGAAGGACCTGTATATATATATATATATGAACAATTAATAAGTGCAAACTCCATAATCAATACGATTTAATGATATGAAAACTAAATAGCTAATATTAAAAATTAAAGATCTAAATAATTGTAAAAGTAAAATTTAACAGCTAAAATACTCGTACCATTATATGATATGTAGCATTGAAATCACATCGAACAGACAGATAGATATACATACATACATACATACATACAAAACCTACTACAAAAATGACATGCGCGCATGACATACATGGTTATTATTAGTTGACTGTGTCTGTCTTTTCTTCCTCAGCAATTAACTTGGACAATATATTCCCTCCCTCCCCGTATGAATAATTCCTTCCATATTTTATGCATTAAACAAGTTGAAGAAACTGCTCGCAAGCTGATGTCAAACGATACCAACTTGTCCTTTCGACAATATTAAAAACACCATTTGTCTCTGCAAGACTACTTCCTTCCTTCCCTCCTCATCAGCTTCCAAGATTCCATCTCTTCCCTCTTGGTTCGGTCTCTGCTTTGCCTGTTCGATTTCATCAAGCTTTGTTTGTCTTTGTCTTCATCGGAATCGTAACCATGATACAAGAAACAAGAAGACTTGCAGATGAGTATGAGATATCAGAGATTTTAGGCAGAGGAGGATTCTCTGTGGTCAGAAAAGGCATCAGCAGAAAGTCAAGCAGCAGCAGTGACAAAACCGATGTGGCAATCAAAACACTCAAAAGGCCGTTTGCACCCTCGAACCCTCCTCCTCTGCCGCCCCACGCCCGGCGGAACGACCAGAATAGCTTTGCTGCTGCCGCTTTCCAAACCCGGAAGCAGGTGTCCATATCGAATGTGCTGCTCACGAATGAAATCCTGGTGATGAGGAAGATTGTTGAGAATGTGTCGCCGCACCCGAACGTGATTGACCTCTATGATGTGTACGAGGATGAGAACGGGGTTCACCTTGTGCTGGAGCTATGTTCTGGAGGGGAACTGTTTGATAGGATTGTGAAGCAAGAAAGGTATTCTGAGGTTGGAGCTGCAGCTGTGGTGAGGCAGATTGCACAAGGCTTGGCAGCTCTTCACCGCTCGAATATTGTTCACCGGGATTTGAAGCCGGAAAACTGCCTCTTCTTGGACAACACCGTTGATTCTCCTTTGAAGATTATGGATTTTGGGCTGAGTTCTGTGGAGGAGTTCACTGACCCTGTTGTGGGACTGTTTGGTTCCATAGATTATGTGTCACCAGAGGCTCTTTCTCAGGGGCAAGTAACTTCCAAGAGCGATATGTGGGCTCTTGGTGTAATCTTATATATCCTTCTCTCCGGGTATGTTCATATTTTTCTCTTGATTTTCTGGGCAACCAAACAGAAGACGGTAACATTAGTAGCGTATGAAGCATATTACAACACAAATAATATGATCTACTTTTTAGGTACCCACCTTTTATTGCTCAGTCGAATCGGCAAAAGCAACAGATGATTATGGCTGTAAGTAATTAGCATTGACATTCTATTAGAACACAGAAGTTAGTATGTTTTGATTTGTCAGAAGGTTCGTTCAAATTAAAAGAGAAAATGCTTGTGATCCTGCAGGGAGAATTCAGTTTCTATGAGAAAACCTGGAAGGGGATTTCTTTGTCAGCAAAGCAATTGATTTCGAGCCTCCTCAAAGTCGACCCTGACAAGAGACCTAGTGCTCAAGAGGTATGCTTGGAAATCTATGCAAGAGATTAAGCATCAACAAAAAACTAAAATATCGAGAGAATGTCAACATCGGTCTGAGCTATATAGAGACTATATGAACTCTTATAGTAGTTCTTGGTAGCACCAAAATGCAGTCTCCTAGATTTGTTAGCCTAACTAATTTATTTCTTGTGTTGAACAGCTTCTGGACCATCCATGGGTTGTCGGTCTTTCAGCCAGAGAGGATCAAATGGATGCTGAGATTGTATCACGACTGCAGAGTTTTAATGCTCGGCGCAAACTCCGTGCTGCAGCAATAGCAAGCGTGTGGACAAGCTCGATTTTCTTAAGGACAAAGAAGCTAAAATCGTTACTAGGATCCTATGACCTTAAACCAGAGGAAATCAAGAATCTGAGTTCACATTTTAAGAAAATGTGAGTAGTTAAAAGCACATTTTGCACCTTCCTATATTGTCTATGAATGTGGTATTAAAATGTAGGTCAGATCGAGAATTATCAGTACTTAGCATCCAGTTTCTGCCAAAAGTTTGCATATATAGTAATAGCAGTTATATGGATCACTTCTCTACGTAAGTTCAGTTTAATGACTAAGACTTATTGAGATAATCAAACGAAAAATGGCATTCTTTTTAAGTGATAAATTCACTTGGGCAATCCTAAACTACACTGGCTAGAGCCTAAGCTTAGTTCTCCTGTAATCCAATATTTATAAATTATGATAAACTAATATTTCAAAGTACAGATGTGTAAAAGGTGACAATGCTACTCTTTCTGAATTCGAGGAGGTACTGAAAGCAATGAAAATGTCGTCTCTAATGCCTCTAGCACCCCGAATCTTTGACCTATTTGACAACAATCGTGATGGCACCATTGACATGCGAGAGATACTGTGTGGGTTCTCTAATCTCAAGAACTCACAAGGAGACGATGCTCTCCGCCTGTGCTTCCAGGTGCACTTCTTCTGTGTTTTCATCTAGTACAAGTACATAAATGAAAACTCACTCTAACCAACTAGTTTGGACCATAAGGTTTCCTGAGAAAATTAACCCTTTCTCACTTAAAGAAACTACTACTAATCGAAAATCATATATATATATATATATATATATATATATATTATGATCCATAGTTCTTCTCTATTGCTCTGCCTAATTCACTGTCATTATTCAATGAACCATATTTTAATAGTCCAACTATTCTGATTCACAACCAGATGTATGATACGGATCGGTCTGGATGCATCAGCAAAGAAGAAGTAGCATCTATGCTCAGGGTAAAGTCTCTTTCCCTATCACTTCAATTCATATCACACGGTGTATCCTGCTTGTTTGTTGTAAGATTATGACCAAATAAAACTATACCTCGCAGGCTTTACCAGATGACTGCCTTCCAGCTGATATCACCGAACCTGGAAAACTAGATGAAATATTTGATCGGATGGATGCAAACAGTGATGGAAAAGTTACCTTTGATGAGTTCAAAGCTGCCATGCAGAGAGATAGCTCTCTCCAAGATGTAGTCCTCTCCCATCTTCGACCAATATAGTTTTCCCACTATCCACATTTGTCGCCGTTAACTTTTTCAGTAAACTGTGGAATGTGTTTGGAAGACCAGTGACCAGAAAGCTGAAACTAAACTGTATGCCAACTTCTGCCATGCAAAATAGGAGCACCTTGCTGCTTTAACTTACAGTGCAAGGAAAATAGAAAATCCAAGGTATTCTACTTAGCCTGGTAAACTGAGGAGAAAATTTCAGTAGCATCAATGACGAAAGCCGCTCCAAGTTCATTTTATCGTTTACGTTCTACAAGCCGTAGAAGATATTCTGTTTAGGGCTGAGTTTTTGTTTAGCATTTAGGTGTTTTATGTTATCAAAGCATGTACCAGAGTTAAGTGAAACTTACATTATCCGACTTGAAAGAACAAATCTAAGCTGTGTTTTCCTTTCAAAGAAGAAAACAGTGCATCTGCACACCAAACAAGGCAGATAACACACATAGCAAATACTTTCGAAGAAGGTGCATCTGAGATTTATAAATTTGCATCACATCAACACCATTAGAAGAAGAAACAAAGAAGTTCTCACACACCCCTATTTTTTTGTTGTCATCGAATTGAATAAATCAAATGAAAACAACAAACATGTTTGAACAAATCCTAAGTTCCCAAGTGTGTATATCATTTCCCTCAAAGAGTACGTAATTAATTTGTGTGCGTGTCTGTGTGTGCGCGCGAGAGAGAGGAAGGACCTTAGCATCTATAACAAACTCCATAAATGGTACTTTTTTGCTCTGACTGGCTTGATACTCGGGGCAAATATATAAGCTCAAACGTAACTTGTTTCTTCTTTAGTACAAAGATATTCTACTGCACTATGGAGATGTGAAGAGTTTGAACGCGGGGATGTAGTGATTTGAAAAAGAAAAGGAATTAATCATCATGACATCCATTACTTACAATGTAACTCGTTTCTTAAACAAGTCAAATCTGAACAAAACTAGATTGAAAAATGCATGGCATGACATGCTAACCCTCGCATTATGGCATGCCAAAACATCTTTGTTTACCCCGATATGACAAGCGTCGCGAATTGTCGACAGAATGCATGTCATGACATGCCATGCATTATGTCAACAATTCACGAGACTTGTTATGTCATGCCACAATGAGAGGGTTAGCATGTCAAGACAAGTCATGGCTTGTCTTGACATGTGACTTGTCATTGTATGCCAACAACGATGTTTTGGCATGCCATGATGCGAGGGTTAGCATGTTAAGTTTAGAAAAATGCATGGCATGCCATGCAAACCCTTGCATTGTTGAACGCCAAAACATCGTTGTTGGCCCCGACATGACAAGCGTCGCCAATTGTCGGCAGAATGCATGTCAAGGCACGCCATGCATTTAGTCGACAATTTAAGCTGTGTGTTATGCCGTGGCACAATAGGAGGGTTAGCATGTCAAGACAAGCCATGACTTGTCAAGACATGTCATGCCCTGCATTCTAGAGACAACTTGCGAGGCTTGTTATGACATGAATTTTTCTAACACTATGCCTACTATTTCATAATAATGTTATAAAAAAAATAAAAAAATAAAAAAAAAGGATCTAGGAAAGAGTAGACCCTGCAGCCTAAAATTATTTTTTTAGAAATTAGTACAAAGTAGGACGCTAGTCATATATGAACGTGGTCTTACCATAAGAACATGTTCATCGGTAGAACTAAAAATTAACACTTGTTTTTACCAGTAAGAGCACATTCATTAGTAGAGTTGAAATTTACAAACGTTTTTACCGGTAATAATCTTTGTAAATTTTCAACTCAATCTGTGAATGTGTTCTTACCAATAAGAACTCTTCGTATATAATTGCCTACTATGTAATAGTAATTTCCAAAAAAATAATTTAAGGCTCCGGGTCTACTCTTTCCTAGATCCTTTTTTTTACATGCATTTTGCCAACATTTTGCATACTATTTCGGAATAATTTAAAGGGAGGATAGTAGCGATGTTTTGGCGTGCCACAATGTGAAGATTAGCATGTCAAAGTGTTAGAAACTCATTAGCATCCGTTAATTAAGTGTGTATGTGTGTAATTTCAATAAAGACGTAAGTGTTGACTCTCTTTATCTCGCACTGTTGCACATTATCCGCCATTTGTGCTAATGTTCGCCCCTTGCGTTTGGTTCCCTCTCGCTCTCTACTTTCTCTCCATTCTTCTCTGGCCCATCAAATTTTGCGGGAAGAGTACACCGACATGTAAATTAGGTTTTTCAATTTGGGGATAGTGTTAAAGGATTTCGATTTCACTTATGTGTATTGCCAATTGCAAGACTTATTAACTTTGCATTTAGACCTATTAACTTAACAGATTGGGTTTGAATGATTAATTAGCTTAACGGGTTAGATGTGGTTGAGCCGTTAATGTATCCGGTTATATATTATGAACACATGCAAACTTTTTCTTAAATGGTTTTTATCACAAATGGTCTCAAAAATTGACTCATCTCATAAAGATAGTATTTAAAATTAAAAATCGATCAATGTAGCCCCTGAAAATTGGTGTCATAAATCAATGTGGTCATTCCGTTATAATTATGTCAAAAATTATGTTACGTACTAACGTGACAAATAACTGGACCCTACAAATCTAATTAAATATTATTATTTAATTATTGAAATAAAAAAATTCATTTTTAGAAATTTAAAAAAAATGATAATGATTTCCCCTCCCTACCAACAAGAGATTTTTCAGTGTGACCGTCACATAAGATGGTACATTACGTGTCTTCATAGAAATTGTGGGTTATATGTATTAAAAGGTTAACAACTTAAAAATTAAAATTTTCCACCACTTGCATAAAAACACGTGGTGTACCATCAGTGTTCACGTCACAACTAAAAATTTCTTCCTACCAACCACCCGAGACGCCCATCCGTCCGAAATCAGAATAAGTGCGGTCGAGGATGGCTGATCGGACGCGCGAAAACGGTAGAGGAAAGCACACCGTCTTCTTCTTCTTGCGAATCAGGGAGTAGGTCTTGGTGAGGGAGCCAGTGACTCAAGTCGCCGGCGAGGCCATTATTGACGTGTGACAGCACCAAAGCTTAAGAAAATTGGATGTCCCCGAAGCGATTCGGGTTGCGGACTGATTGCGTTGCCGGGAAAAGTGAGGATGAGGGTGGGGCCTGGGATGTTGCATTTTGTGGCAATGTATGAGGGAAAGAAGTGGTTGCTCGGGGTGCGCACGACGGGGTGGGGTGGGGTGGGGTGGGCCTGGTCGCTCAGTGGAGGGGATAGGCTCCGGATAAGATGATTTGTTTCATTTGGTTTTTTTAAAGTTTTTAATTATATAAAATAAAATAAAAAAAAAATTATATTATTTAAATATTTTTAATGGCCATGTTTAATTATTGTGGAACCTAGTTATGTGCCATAGCACATAACAGAAATTTTAATATAAAATTATAATTGTAGGATCACGTTGATTTACGACATCAATTTTCAGAAACTACATTAATCGATTTTCAATTTTAGAGATCATCTTGATGGAATAGGTAAATTTCAGGACGGTTAGTGATAAAAACTCTTTCTTAAATAAAGTACTGTATCACTATCACATGAAGTCAGAGGTTGGATGGGAGGGAAATCGCTGACCACAACGATGGTAAAGTAGATGAAGATTTTCACTCTTTAGTCCTTGTTTTGACCTATAAACCTCCAAAACGATGCTCAAATTCGCGTCATGTTATTGGACGGAAGGGGTTTCGGCCTCGGCCATAACGATCAATGCTGCACGTTCATATTTTCAAACACATGGATGCTAAGTATGAAACTGTTTAATTTGATGATTTAAACTCGATATCACATGGTCACAACCAACTAATCTCAGACAAGATTAGTAGGCAAACTAATCCCTACATATTCGATTCGATTCAATTCGTTGATCGGCAACTAAAAGAGACATAAATCTTAATCTAATCTTTCTAGTAATGCCACATGAGTAAATTATAGAATCGGTCGCTCAAACCTTTGATCCCTAAACTAAGAAATCGTTAATTAAGTCCTTAAATTTCACAAAATGTGGAGAATTTTCATAATAATAAAAAAAAAAGATTTGGACAAAAAATCTAACAGATGCCTCGTTTTACTCTAAATAAAATTCACGAATCTAAATTAACGGATTTTTAATTTAGGGACAAGATCTAAACTAAGGTTTAAGTCCAAAGACCAATTCTCTAAGTTACAACACTGAAGCACCCGTCCAAAACTTGAGATACAAAATATAGGAAAATGATCTGCTGTGATCCTTCATCGTATATCGTACGGTTAAAAATCATTTCAATATTTAAATTTTAAAATTAAATATAAATAGTATCTAACGAAAACTGACCACACGATATACGATGAACAATCATGATCACGGGATCCCTAGCATCCCCAGGAAAAGGATCCCCGCCGGATCCTTTTCCCAAAATATACACCGAGGCTCAATTGCACCTGGGCAGTCACAACCAACAACGTGCATATAAATATAACGAAAACATTCGAGGCTCAATTGCATCTGTAACGAAAGCATCCGAGGCTCAATTGCATCTGGACAGTCACAACTAACAATGTGCATATAAATATAACGAAAACATTCGAGGATCAATTGCATCTGGACATTCACAACTAACAATGTGCATATAAATATAACGAAAGCATTCGAGGCTCAATTGCATCTGGACAGTCACAACTAACAATGTACATATAAATATAACGAAAACATGGTTACATGGAAACAATTTATATACCTCCTACCTAAAACTAAACAAGACTCTAAAACTAAACAAGACTCCAACTAACTACAACTAAACCAAATTTCTTCATCCAACACTCAATCAACACGGATCCGTTGGTTATGGGGCAATACATCCTCACTTGTCTATCTCTAGTGCCGCCTTTCAAGCAACGATAACTGTGATACGGTTATTGGCTTCGGGGCTTGGCAAAGGCATCTTCAAAGCAGATGAAATAACTCTTGTTTATAGACTTTCACATCAGAATGCAGCTCTCTGTTTTCAACACAGATTCATGATACAGTCACCAATTATAACACTTGTACCAAAATTGAACAAATCCATTCTCCCAAAAATTACTTCATCATACCGAATAAATACAATAAGTAGGAAATGATATGTAAATGCTAAATTGCTAAAGTATCCTAGTGTGGTTTTGAAGATATCATGATGGTCTCGACAGTACGAAAACCTTGAGCAGCTGCAGCAGCATGAAGACAGTCAGTTAGACTCGTAGTGGGGTGAGCGCTCATAGAGGTTCCTATTTAACAAACCTAGCAAACAAGATTACTCCAGGCTAACCCTAGGTAGGTTGTAAGACCAATCATCCTTGATTCTCAGATTGTTGTTAGGAAGTTGGATTTTCAGATACTGTTTTTCTCTGCCGGACCAGCCTTTCCAGTTGACAACTCAAAGAGGACAAGTGAACAGAACTCGTACGAGCCTTTGGATTTCAAAAGCCCCGAGTGACCACAACAATCAAGGTCTCGACACTGAGAGCTGACCACATCCTTTATTTTACTTTTTATTTTTATTTTTTAAACTTCAAGCTTCAACGGAAATCTTTACCCTTCAAACCTCAGAAAATTTCAGCATCACAGAGAGCGATGGAAGCTTGAGAGCAGATAATAGTTTCTACTGCTGTTAGATGTCATAGCGGAATACTCCACCTTCCTAGTTCCCAGATAGTGCAAACACGAGAGATGGAATTGGAAATCCCTCTGTGTTAACAGGGAGCTATAGACAGTTTGATTTTGAATTCCTTGAACTTTAAGCATTACACAAGAACCGCCGGGCCAAGGAGGCCACCGTGAACGGCAATGGGAAAGGCAACTGCACCGTGTACAGTCGTGTACACGACGGGAGAGCTGGTGACTCTGCCCTACATTGTTCGGCAAGGGGAATACGCCCGCAGGTTCATAGATTCATCCAATTTTGTTGAATTTGGTTTGGTTTTATGTTACTTTGGGGTTTTGAGAACCTACTCTACATATCAAGATTTGTCTTATGCTCTGGAAAAGATGTTCAGCTTTAGCAGGAGATAAATGGGAAAAATGTGTGTCCAAGTGCGTATACTCTCTCTGTCTTTATTAATGCTTTGTGCAAGGAGAGTAAACTCCATGAAGCACATTTCGTCGAATGTTAATTCAATTTTGGTAAGGTTTTCAAGTGGTGGATTGCCCTGGTGGTAAGGAACTTCCCTTTCAACCCACTGCTTCTGGTGCTGAGGAGGAGGTAGTAAATTATTTTTACTGATTATCTGTGGAAATTAACCTTCCTACTGATATATTCCATGCTGTAGAAATACACTGAAAGACAATATAATACTGGGGAACTTTTTTAAAGTTGTGTAGAGTATTGCGCTGTCTATTTATCTAATGTGATTATCACAAGGTATTTCCTGTAAGGTTTTGGGCGAAGCAGACTAAGAACCTATTTGACATTGTGGATTTGCATAGGCCAGGCAACGTTGAAAAGAAATATTTTAATGTTTAGGTCTCGGTTGGAAAGCTAAACAACTTATATTATGTGCTTCTCCTATTTGAAAGGTTTAGGTTATACATATAAATATAAACAAGGATTAGATATCAATTTTTCTAGATGTTTTGGTAGTACGGATGTAAGAAAAAGACATTAAAAAGTATTCTCCAATCAACTTGTAACAATATGGCAGAAAGGGAAAGGGACAGAACAACGCCTCAAAAGAAATGGAAACTAGAATGCATCAAAATAAGTCATTCAATCATTTCATAATATAAAACCAAAATAGTACTTCAAATAGTATGCTTACATTTGTCATAGCTGCTCACGTATGCAAGCCATTGATCTCAACATGGAGCCTAGTGTGTCTCTGGAAACTTGAAACTTGACCTCCATTTCTCCAGAAGTTGTCTTTGTATCTTGAAGCTGAGAAACCACAATAATGTACAATGAACACTTGTGCTGACAAATTTAAGGAAACTGAATAATTTCGTATAAATTTGGATTACTTAAAAATATCATATGTTGACCACTTAGTGCCCTGGTAGACCGGATTATGTGCAATCCGGCTAGGCCCACCCTAAATATAATAGGATTATGAATCCCATAAAAAATCTGAGATAACATCCAGGACATATCAGCTTTTGACCAAAAAACAAGGACCCTTTTAGCTTCGTCAGAGCTCAACCATCAAATCCCCAATGACCGCTATCGCCTCTGGCCACTTCCGCTCGCACCTCTCTGTTTGTTGTTCGTTGAATGATGAAGTGATGAACTTGGTTTCAGTTTATACTTGGCAGTTGTGACTAGATACGGATTTGTGTATAAACTGAATGTCAGATTTAGGTTTTTAGGTTCTATTACATCCATTCATGGTATCAGAAATACAAAGGAAACACTTGGGAAAACTACTTAACTGGTTATCCTTTTTTGTTTAATGTGTCTCAGATGTTAACACATTTAGAAACCACGATGATATATTTCCCCAAATGTCACATGATCAGTGATACATCAATTGAGCTCATTTCATAACCATTTAGTTTTTAGTTTTTATTTTCCATTTTGTGCTATAGATAGAGGACAAGTATGTCAGTGAAAGGACGAACAAAAAAAGGGTGAAGGAAGGATGGTAAAAGATAAGTGAAAAAAAATCTGTATGGAATGACACAAAATGAAAACTAAAAACCAAAAATTGAAAACAATTTTAAGTTGTATGCACTTTCAAGTTTTTGCTTCATATAATCTCCTTCATTTCTCTCTCCATCTCTAGCACGAAAATTGAATACTAAATACAAAATAATTATCAAACATACCCTTAACTTTTTACCAAACAATCTCGTATTCATCAAATTAATTCCAATAAACTTCTACGAGAACAAACTTCACAATCTCTAAGAAAAAGAACTTGACGATACATTAAAAAACAAAAAGACAGTATAATAATTGTACTTGTTTAGTGTAACTTCCAATTAGTTAGTTATTGTTTACTCCAACCAAGCTCTTATACTTAAACTCTATTTCTATTCACCTAAATTTTTATCATTTACCAAACTGAAAAATATGCATTGAGCTGGATGTCAAATTAGCAAAACAACGAAAACAAATATTCTAATCCCAACTGAAAAATACAGGAACAGAAAACCCCAGAGTTCCAACCACCTCCCTACCATCTATGAGCCAAATTATCCCTCTAGTCCTCGAAGTATCCATAATGTCACAAATATTTTGATGAGTTTCTTTCCAGATAACAAATGCTCTAAGGGAAAATCTGCTCCCTGCCCCTCATGGAAACAGAGTTTAATGTGACTCAAAGAAGCTGCATCAACCCATACAAATCCTATTCTAAAACCCCCAAAACTACCCAACATTAATTAGCTTGCAGAAAGACAAAAGGAATAGGAAACAATATTTTCAAGATACTGTTCACAGCCCCAAAAACCTCCCTGAGCTTGGCATTTCCTACCTTGACCCTTTAGGGATATCTTTTTACAACCAAAAGTCTGTCTTTCCCTAACATTTTACCGACAGGAAATCCTTATTCTGGAAGCCCAAAATCTTACCTCCAAGCTACAGCACAATTCCTGTAACTCAACTTTGTTGAACTAAACCCACAATTTTTTGCAGGATGTGATGCCAATCCTGGATATCAGAGCCGTCTCACATTCGACAACTCTGTGTCAAAAGTCTAACTGTGATGCCAATCCAATTGTAAAACTAGGGTGAAAGCCTAGAAATTAAATTGTGATTACCTTAACACAAAGAAAAAACTATTATAAGATCTCAACATACTGAACTTCCTCAGAAAAATTGATGGGAGATAGGTTGAAATTTTTGAGTTTTCATACCTTCAAATTGATGACAGCAACTCTGTTGGCTGGAGCAGAGAGCTGCTGACTGATATAGGCCATCGATTTTAACATAGGCTCTAGTGTAACCCTTGTTAGCCTAAACTGTACCTCTTTCTCCCCTGCAGGATTCTTTCCATAATCTTGTAGCTACAGGTGGAGTAAAAGAAATTAGAACAGCAAGCCAAGAAGGCTACTCTAGTGGAGCCAAATTCAGCATGCATAAGTTATTTGAAAATACAGCAAGAAGAATAATTAAATGGATTGAACAGAAATAGCACAAATATTTAAATGGTTTTCAAAAGATGATAAATCATTTCTGAACTAAAGTAGCATTTTTTAAGGAAAAAGTTTATCACCTAAAATGACTTATGATGAGGGGCAATGCATTCAATGGTTAAATTTGACACAACTTTTGAAATAAATAATTCACTGAATCTAGCCCCTTTAGTGCATTGTTCCTCAACTTAAATCCCTTAGTTGAGCACTTCTAATGATTAAGGTATCATGAGAATGAAACTGGCTTATATATTGATTTGCCTCATGAAACTGCCTATTAGTCTCAGTGACTCACTTTACCCCCGAAATTGGATTTGTCTCACTTTGCCCCTTGAAACTGCCAAAATCAAACCATTTCACCCCATTTCCGTTAATTCTGTCTCAAGGATAAATGAAAGGCATTATGGACATTGCATACCATGCTGGCAGAGATGAGCTATTGTGGTTGGCATGGTATGAATTTTTAGACTGCCCTTAACCTCTAAAACTGTCAAATCTCTGCCAATGTGGACATAAATGGTGTGAAATGATTCGATTTTGGCAGTTTCAAGGGGTAATGTGAGACAAATCCAGTTTCAGGAGGTAAAGTGACATATGGCGGTTTCAGGCGGCAATTCAATGAATAAGCCAATGAAAATTGTTATACTCTTCTTGAGTGAAATTGAAGAAACCTCAAACCTATAGAAGCAAAGTTAGAAATATTCTTCACATATACAAAATGGATATGCATACCTTCAAGTTGATAACAGCCACTTTCCCAGCTGATGTTGAATTCTTATTTTCTATGATCCATGTCATGGACTTGAAACAAGTAACGACCAACTACATCAAATTAAAAATTTTGAATGGGTCAAAATCCTATATCTTTAGAGAACGTATTCAAAACTAAGACTCTCCAGATATCAGGTATAAAATAAACACATAGTCAGAGAAAAGGGTATAAATGGAAACAAACTAAATAACAATAAACCTCCTAGATTCATACCGTGCTATCAAGACTGCCACCATCAGGGTGAATGGAGACAGGAGCCATGCTGGGCTGGTTCAAATCAGCAGCAGGAACTCCTCCATCATTAAGATTAAAGCGATGTGGCAATGCTTCTTGCCAAGGCCACAAAGAGGGGGCAATTTCACCAGGTGGCAATTGGCTTGTCTTCAAACTGTCTTCCTGTGCATTTCCACTAGCCTGAGAGCTAGGAGGCGTGACTTTGGCAACATTTTTCTTTACAACAGCAATCTTTTTCCCACCCTCTCGTAGAGCACTCATTGCCGCATTGTAAGTCTCTAGACCAACTGCCCCTTCTTCTGCATACTTAATGGCTTCCCGACATAGATTGTTAAAGCGCATAGTCAATGTCTCAATACCTTGCAGATCTGAACTTTGTTCATCTGGTCCAACCCAAGATTTAGCATTTCTTGTCCATCGCTTCAATATGTAATGTGATGGAAGGGTAAGAACATTTGTTACTGTGAAGACGGTCAAAATATGTCTACATAGGATGCCTGAATATTCAAACATTTGACAGCTGCAGCTTGCTTTTATTTCGGAGACATTTAATATGACCATATATGCCTTATCATCATGTTCATATTTTGCAACCCTGTATTTACTGACTATCCCATCGCCCTCAATCTTATTTGCAGTATAAACAAAAGTTTCAACCAATTCCTCTTGAAACTTCGCAAAAACTTTTTTGGTATACAAGTTAGCTGCCTGCTGTTCCATTGGTGAAGGTGTTTTCAGTACAGGTGTAGTGCACATTGTATCAATATCCGCCTCTATTTCTTTTTCTAACGAATGCTCAAGAGCCCTTTCATACTGCTTAAAAAACATAGGTATACTCATTTGTTGATTCACATAGCCATCAAAAAAAGAACTAATACCTTGGTTTGAGGAAATTGCAGCAAAGAAAGTTCCATGAAAATAAACTGGGGCCCATTGCTTTCGAGCATTATACACTGCCTGCAGCCAATCATTTCTCAGTAGATCATATCTATCAAGAAGGGATGCCCACGATGATTCAAAATCCTCAATTGTCTCCGAAAAGTTGATGCAACTATATAGTTCTCCGTAGAAGGAAGGATGGGCAAGATATACATGAGCCAATCTTTCTTGGCCTTCCCTTAAAATATGCCACTTGCATATACAGTGCCGCGTTTCTGGAAAAACCTGAGCAACTGCTACTTGTATGGCTCTGTCTTGGTCTGTAGTTATAGAAACAGGAGGCCGATCATTCATGGCAGAAAGCCATGTCCTAAACAGCCATGTAAAGTTAGACTCGGACTCATCTAGAAGTAATGCACAACCAAACAAGACCTTCTGACCATGATGATTTACACCAGTGAAAGGAGCAAAGGGGACTTGGTAATGATTTGGTCGATACATTGTATCAAAAATTACAGCATCGCCAAAGTGGTTATAAGCTGTCCTAGATCTTGCATCGACCCAAAAGACATTGGTCATGCGGTTTTCATCATCAAGCTGTATAGCATAGAAGAAGCCAGGGTTTTCAGCTTGCATCTTCTTGAAATAGTTTAGAAGATTTTGAGCATCTCGCCCGAGTGTTCTCTTTCGGCTACACGGCCTTATACAGTTAACAGGCCGAAGGTTCCTTGCTGAGTGGTTTGGTTCTACAGGGGAGACGCTCCTGCCTCCACGATTTGGTTCATAAGAGACATGATTACCATCCATGGAAAAGTATGAATCAGTAGTGGCATCCAAAGTCTCAGATGTATTCTTCGTAGCACCAGCAAAGTGTCTACGGGGTCGAAGGTAATGGACCTTACTAGGACTTACCATAGAATGGTTGTGGTCCTCAACAAACTTTGTAGTAACCCAACTGTTTGCATCCTTTCTCTCTATACGTAGCATGGCATTGCAGCTTTCTACATTCTTTCGTTTGAATACCTCTCTCGAACATGCAAAGTCCCATGTCACTATAGGTCCATCAGGCTTAGCACGAGTAAACTGGCCAACATGGGTGCTAAAGCCCACATTCCTCGCATATGCATCATACAGAATCTTGGCAGCGTCCTCGGACTCGAATTCCATTCCCACATGTGGCTTAGAATCATCCTGAATATTTACCTCTCTCCCTGAAAAATTTTCTTTCACATTCTGCTTTTGACCTTTATCAGGTTCATTGTTTTCTGCCATATGATGTTCCAAGTTTTCTCCCTCAGCATCTACCAGCACTTCAGTTTCCATTACAGTTGTCTGAATGATATGAACATATATATCATTCCCTTAGCTTTAACTATGAAGAATCCTCACAGTTACGCCAACTGAAGGGACAATAAAACAAGCTGATTAATTATACAAAAAATTATATATCAACAGAAGGTAGTTATTATATATAAAAACATCAAAACAAATGAAAAGGTTAAAGATTACTGAGATCCAAACGCCAAGGAGTAAGTGGTTGTTCACAAATATCCTGGCTGGGAACACTCCTTGGGATGAGAAGAGCAGAAACTAGCTGCAAATAACCAAACTTTAATGAATATCCTCATAAATTACTTCACTTTTCCCACTCCAATCCAATTTAGGTGTTTAATAAGAATTCTCGCCAATGTACCACTTCTACCATGATATGCTCACAACACAATTTCGAGAACGATTTGAGGTGCAAAAATCTTTGCTATTCAAATTAAATCTATTAAAACTGAAACAAAACCGAAAATAATCGGGTCACGGTGTTGCATTGATTCCTGATTTCTTGAGTTTACAGAAAAAAGATAAATTTAACAGCAAAAAACAAAAATCATTCACAGTAATTCATTACCTTTCTAATTCAAACAAAACAGTAAGTAAAGCAACATTCAGTTCAGATATCATTTCAAAAACAAAACCAAAAACGTTTTCAATTGGATATTTCTGCGAACAGATAATGGGATCAAACGAAGCACAGAAAAAATTGAAGAATAATTAAATAAATAAAACCAGAGTTTCACCTGGTTTCTTCGAGCCTCAATTTTGGGACTGGGAATTGAAGTGCCATTGCCGCTTGAATTTCCACAGAGTGTTGGAAATTAGGGTTTGTCAAATTGGGGCTAAAGTACCTGCAAGAGTATAAGAGCGTAGAGCTCCAATTGTTTGTGTTAAAGGAGTCGCAGAGTGCGAGCGCATAAAGCATAAGCCCCAAACCAAAAACCCAGAAAAGAAAGAGGGTGTCGCCGTCGTCCTCGTCACTGCTGCACTCTCCGCCTTCGTTTTTTTCTTTTTTTTTTTGTTCGGGTTGACATTTTCACTGTCCATCTCTTATGTTTTTTTTCACTGTTTGGTAATTATTACGTGTACGTCTGGTGCACGTGTACTCTTGCCAACAGCGATACTTGAGTGCTACAGAACTTTTTTTAACTAGATATCATATTCGTAATTGTCGTTTAGTATTATGATGTAGTGATATTTATATTTACTTGTAACTGAGAAATTTTATATTCGTTTTTCGTTAAATACGAATTTAAACTACATTATTGCTAGCATATTGGAGGCTTAGCCCACTCCCTCTTTCACTTTGCGTAAGATAATATCGTTTATTAAAAAAAATCGTAACTAAGAAATAATTCAAACTAATAAGAACTCGTATGGAACCGGTTTGTTGTTACTATGATTTTTTTGTTTTTTGTCTAATAATACATTGTTATGTGCAGGCTTTTCTCTACATAACAATGTATTATTGAATCGAGACGCCACGTGATAGTGAATTCATTTTATGTAAGTTGTTCTCCAGATTAAAACCTCTATTGACGAAAAAGAGAGAGCAATGATACACATCTAGATCTCACTCATAGTCGAGAGTCCTCGAGGACTTATTTATCTTCTCTAGGAGGGTGAACCAAAAGAGTGGGATGAACTTGATGAGAATATATGGTGCAAAGGTATGAATATCTAGGGTTTTGGAAGCAAAGAGAAAGAAATGCTATTGTTCCAATAATATTGTGTATCAATATAAAAAAACAGATAGTGCTATTCACACACTTATTTGTACTTTTCATATACCCTTCTTTTATTCATTCGATCCCTAAGGTCGAAAATTAAGAGTTGTGTGTGAGAAGTAAAAACGGATGTCTGGATAACATTATCCTATAAATTTCAGGTTTAGTTAGTGAGCCATAAGAGAGCCTTTTGCAATTGGGATTAAACAAGTAACAAGGCATTTAATACTACAGTCTAGTGGTATTCTCACGTATGAAGAAGATTTCGAAAAGTAAAGGGCTTCTACTTTGGATTCTAATAGGAGAAGCTACAAGGTGGAACCAATGATCGAAAGAAGCTAGTGTAGTGGGCCTTTATTTGGGCCTTTTACACTTAAGTCATCTTTATGTCCAAATATAAGCTAATTGACCCTAGAAATGCAAACTATTTCAAGGCTTGTAGTCAACGGCTAATCGTTAATGTGATTAATTAAGACTATCTAATTAATCTCACCCTTAATTAGTTCCATCATTCTATTGTACTTATCTCAATACACTAGCCTCGGTGTGGGATCCATAAGGTTCTAATTTGTGAGGTGATTAATACTAATACAATTAAATCCTTATTTTAATTCTTATGTCGCACAATATGACTAGTCATTAAGAAGACCTCATAAGCCATGAGTGACACCTAGTTGTGTGTCATGACTACTCAAGCCAATATACAACATATCGGAAACCTGTTAGTTAGAATTAGAAGGCAATTCGATTTTTTTCTAAAGTGATACTCTTAATCACATTGTTAGAGTATAGATATTTTATGTCAAAATCCTAATAGGATGGTTATAGTCATTTTGGTGGGAAGTTATTAATTACATTGAGAGATTTTTTTTTTTTTTTTTTTTTTGGTCAAAATTACAATGAGAGATTAGAAATGAAAGTTTTGAATTACATGGACGTAGAGGATAGTTACAAGTTAGCGCTTGTGTACTTTTTGTTAGATGAATGCCTTAAAACAACTCGTACAACACGCGTACAAATATAATTGTAGAAGGCATGCATGGCTTGGTGCAGGAAATGAGGTTCAATTTCCACAATTTTATTTTTGAGAGTGATTCTTTCCAAATTGTCTCTACTTCGAACGAAAGCTCTCCTAATATGTTGATCGTTGGAAAAATTGTGGAAGATTCGATTCCAAGCAAACGTTGCAGCTCATTGCCGTGCCCGTTAGTTTTTTCAAACTGAACTGGTTTTTCCTGTAAATAATGATTCAATGACTGAACCTCCATCTGTAACTACCGATTTGCTACTTGAAGAGAGCCTCTTGTAACTCTTTGCTCTCAAAGTCAGGTCAAACTTTTTAGCTGACACCAATAAGTATTATAAATTGTAAAGTGCTAGTAACACAGATTTTTTTTTAGTACATCGATATTTTTACATTAGATGAAGAGAGAGTTCGGCTAAGCTACACAATAAACAACCTAATTTGGTATCAAATTCATCATCCACAAGATTCGAGCTTAAGACATTTCACCTCTAAGTGAAGATGAATACCACCAGACTGTAATACTGATTGGCAATAACACAGATTTTTTAAGTATAAACCATTTAACAAAGGAAAATATCGCAAAATGTTGGGTAAGAGAGATTAGAAAATGCATTTCTCTTCTCCTCCATGCCCTTGTAACGTTCAAAAGTGCATTTCTTAAATACCCCTACCCAACATTTTTGTGAGCATTTTCTTTATATTTTGACTTTCAATCTCGTTACTCTGAAATTCCGCACCAAAACATACGAATCTAATTTTTTAGGGTTAAAAAGAGAGAAAATCTTTATCAAGATTCCCACTTTTTGTTCCCTTTGCGATTATCTACTTGTATAAAATAAAGAAAATTTCTTTCTTTCTCCCAAAACCAAAGACACAAAAAAGCCAGAACCATTCTCTTGTTTTATAATTTTTGTTGGTCCAATCTTCCCTGTCCACCCACCCACATGGAATCACAACAAACTGAGACCAACCCCAACCCTCCCACATTGACCAACACCCTTCAAACTTCAAACACAATTAAGTTATAAAAGAAAGAGAGGTAGTTGTTGATGATGGAGAAAAAGAAGACCCATTGTCCTCCAAGTTTCTTTGGACACCCACCTGATCCACCCCGCTCCCAGCAGATTCCATCAAGCCACCCAAGCTGCCATCCCCAGCTGCACCAAATATCAAGTCAAAGTTCTCTTCGAACCCCAAGTCCTCGAACAAGTCCGGTAACTCCAACGACTTGTCGAGGTGGATGTCTTCGGGAACTGGAAGCTGCTGAGTTATCATTCCGGTGTCCAAAAAGTTCCAACTAAACTGGTGCTCCTTTGCATGCTCAGGATCCATTACTTGCTCCATTGTATTGCTTTCGATGCAATGCAGCAGATGAGGGTAATGAAGTTGCGGCGAGATCATTCGTTCTTGTTTTAGCTCTTGTTTTTCTTGCTGCTGCTGCTCCTGTTGCGGTTGCAATTGGTGCACTTTGCATTGTTCTTGTTGCTGCTGCTGCTGCTGCTGTTGTGGTAGTAATGGGTGCACTTTGCGGTCGACTTCTTCTTCTTCTTCTTCTTGGGGTGGTCCAATGTTCGAGCATGTGGAAGGCGGTTGACCCTCTGATTCTTGATGATCCAGAGGATGGATTTTCTTCTTGACTCTGTCAATGTAGTTGCTGATATCAAAATTGGTCACTGCATTTGCTCCTCTGTACTCTATCGCCGCCTTATCATATGCAGCTGCTGCCTCCTCTTGTGTATCTTCGAAAAAACGAACAGTTAACGAGCATTAAACGACTAATAAAACTACATCCGTGAACTACATTGTAGTCCACAACCCCAAACAGAGGCGAGAAACGTAATTCCATATATTTGTGCAACATACCCATCTCTACCAGTGACGCAGTCTACAGTGCAATACATAAGTAGCGTTATAATTTTCTAACGACAATATTTTAGTAAAAATTACATATACGTGAAGATTCATCCGTACAATTGCAACATGCAGTTAATCTATTGAGAATTTATATGCCCCACAATACCTAATTTTTGATGCATTAAAAAGCCAAAAAGAAGGTAGGAATTAGGTGAAGACAACTAGTACACTTTCACATCTAAGTTTCTCAAATTCCTTCTCCTTTTTATTTATTTATTTTTGTTAATTTTCCTTTGGGGTCTCAATTCAAACAACAAAATAAAAATTGGAAAACAAATTTGAAAAATACAGAGAAAATAAGATACACCGAACCTAAAGCAATGAATCTATGTTCCCTAACACTGCATAATTCATGCTTTAAAATATGTTTTATCTTGAATTTCAAACCCTAAATTTGTTCCCCTTGTGCGCGTGCGCAACTGCCATCCGTTAACGGATTTTATCCACACAACGAGAGCTGCATCCATCAACGGTTGAAAATCGCCCACACGCGAATGAGAATGGACACAAGGTTTCTAGTTTTCTTTTTCTCCAAGAAATAAAGATGGGACAAATGGGAAGCAGACACTCAACACAGACAAGATTTGGACGGTTAGGATCTGGCAGGAAAGCAAACGCAGGTCCCGGAAGACTTGGCACACACAGAGAGAGCCACAAGGGGAGCAATAAGACACGTGACCACCCGTGCCTGTCGCTTTTTAAAATGTTTTTCGGATCAAAACCGAAAGTTAAAAATGAAAAAGAAAAGAAAAAATAATAAATAAATAAATAAAAAGTCTGAAATCTGATCCTGTCTTTTGAAGAAAGAGGAAAACAGTCGACTTTTAATTAATTAATTAATTTATTTTCCTCACAAAAGGAAGTCACGTGCCGCCACCACTGCTGCCAATTCACTCTTTTTGCCGCTAAAACCCAGATCTAGTCAAATGCTTGCGTGTCGCCTGCTACTGTAGTTCCGGGTGTACCAGATCGGTGCCGTGCTAAACCCAAAACCCCACAACACAAAGTACTACTATTTAGGGGCAGATCTACCAAATTCGGCTAAAACAATTTTGTAGCAAAATTAGTGGGCCCGTCTCACCTGTGGAATTTACTTGTGGGACGTTCCTAGGACTACCTACCTTCTGTATCTGGCAACCTATAAAGTTCTGTAATTCAATCCAAAGTTACTAGTTTATTTTTGGTACATCGATATTTTTTACATTAAAAAGAGAGAAAGTTCGGTTAAATCACATAATAGATAACCTAATTTAGTATCGAATTCTCTATCCACGATATTCAAACCTAAGACCTCTCACTTCCAAGAGAATTGAAATATCACCAGATCGTAATACTAAGTAGCAATCTAAAGTTACTAATTAATTAACATTTATTACCAAACTGCATTTTTAAGGTTAGTTTTTATTTTCCAAACTATTAATAAAACCCATAAATTAGAAGACATGGGTGACCTCAGCTTAGGTTTTCCGCTTTGCGAGCGTCTATCAAATAAGCTGTTTCGACAACTCGAACGCTGATTTTTTAGTTACAAAATAGTAACTATTCTGTTTAATTAATTATTATTTTTAGTATTATTAGTACAGAAAAGAAAACAGAAGATAATTTATTATTAGTATTATTTGTACAGAAAAGAAACACAGGTTGAGTTTGACATGTATATTTTAAGTTTTGGACCGGAATGAAAACCTAAATCCACGTATCACTTCTGTGAAAATTGACTGACCCAAAAGCTATATATATATATATATATATATATATATATATATATATATATATATATATATATATATATATATATATATATAGACACACAAACTCACACAGAAAGTCAGTAGAGCAGTTGGCAGCATCTAGTTTTTCAGAAAGATCCAAATTAAAATTAAGCTGGACCGACTGACTGGTCTGAAATTTTGTGTTCTGAAAATTGCACAGAAGGCCGGATATTTATGCGTGTGACAAACAAAACGAGAAGGCATGCAAAGTGAATGAAAAATGAAGCAATTTGGAAACTGCATCTAAAAGTGCAGAAAACATAATAAAAGAAAAAAGATGGGGGTTATAAGTACATACCATATGTTCCGAGGTATAAGTACTTGTTTCCGAATACTCTTCCGATTCTCGCCTCCCATCTCCCGTTATGATGATGCCTGCGAGAAATTAAACATTGATTTCAACAAGTAAGATCGTGATCTCGAGCAACGCTAGCTGCATTTTGGCCAATTTTCGCCGTGCAAGTGCGAATTTACTTACCTCGCTACCCCACGGTACTTTGAAACTCCTCTTGAAAATCCACTGCTCCGCCGGCGCAATGATGCTAGGTATTCTTCCCTGGTGGCCTTTTGCATTTCTTCAATTTCCTTAGTGTATGTTTCTTGCTGCAACATAAATTCACATTCAATCATTAATCAGCGGTAAGATTAGTAGACGTTATTATGTAGTAATGAATACAATCTTTAACGCTCAACAGTCACACCATAGATGAATTACGTGTGTTACGTTTTAATGTGAAAGAAGAGTTGCGTTATTTGGAAAAGAAAGAGAGGGTGGGAGAATAAATGTACCGGGAAGTTGAGTATTGTACCAGGACCCCAATATTTAAGGGCAGCTAGATCATAGGTATGAGCAGCAGCCTCTTCACTATCATAGGCCCCTGTATGCAAAACACCAATCACATTAATAAATTTATATAAAATTATATATAACTTTAAATGTTTATATATATATATATATATATATATATATTATTAACAAAATAATACATAAAAATAGTGGGTACGTCAAAAGGCAGGCATAGGCAGAGGAAGTTTAACAAATTTTATTAAAGACCACACCGGCAGCCACCATGGCCATATAATTAAGGATTACTTAAGAGAATAATCTTTGTTTTTTTGTTTTTTAACTAAAATCAATAAAAATGATATCTACAATCAATTATTTTGGTTCTTCTATGAAAAATCTCCATTAATTGAAGAAACTATCATTTTAAGGGGAGATGTTGATTTGGCAAAAACCCATTCAATTTAATACATATCTCACAAGAGCACCAAAACAATTGATGATGGACGATCTCAAAAACCACTTTTAATCAATTTTAAATTTCAGTAATCAAAATGAAGAATTATGCATAAATCATTTTGGATTTCTTAAATAAGAAAAAATTAAAATAAAAAAATGGAAAGATAAAGGGTAAATAAAAAAAAATAAAAAATTAAGATTGGAAAATAATGTAACAGAAGAGCAAGTGAGTAAGTAAGAAAGAGTCTGACTTACCCAAATAAACTAAATAAGCAGCGGCAAAAGTGGTGCGGATGAACGTTGCATTGACAGAGATTTACAGGAATAAAAACATAGTCAGAAACAGAAGAAAAAAATAAATAAAAAGAAATTTTTTTTATATTAAATTGAAAGAAAAAAAACACCAAGAAAAATTGATCCAATCCGGATTTAGAAATTAAAATTACTACCTTGCCGTCCTTTCTTATTCTGGACGTTGTTCCATGAACTCTTGTCCCACAGATGAGCTTCAAACCGCCCGGTCCATCTGTGCCTGCACCGAACCAAAATTTAAAAAAAAAATGTAATATAATTTCCTACATGCAAATTGAGAATTTGTCATGCAATTTCAGCGCAGAAATTGGAAAATTAATTAATTAAAAAAGATGGGTTTACCTGGTGACCCCTCTGTAAACGGAGCTTCTTCCGCCTGCCGTTCCTGAATTCGGGGCGTTGGCATTCTGGCATTTCTCTTCCGCTGCTGCTCCGGAGGTTTTTCTCTTCTTCCGAACGCGTTTCGGTTTCGGTTTCGGTTTCTGAATCTCCGGCTGGACGCAGTGGTTCGGAATCTCCGGCCCGGCGCAGGACGAAGAAGAAGAAGAAGAGCAGGAGAAACTGGAGGACCTCTTCATCTGGAGATTCTGAGGACTTGAAGAAAAGAAAGGAGGAGAATTTATGAGGAATGTTGAAGGACTTATGGAGAAAGAAGTGTTGGGATTGGGGGTGATGGTATAAATAAAAGCATGGGAGGGGTTTTATGGTGAGAATGTTGGAGGGGGGAGGAGGAGGAGTGCTTTGAGAAGCATGAGAAGAAGTGGCATTTTGGTAGCCAAAGCTCAAAAGTGGTTTACCAAAAAAGGGAGCGGGGAGGGAGGAGATACTGTGGAAGTAAAGAAGCAGAAGGACTAATTAGTCATTTGATGGCTTTGTGGGGTTTAAGTGAAGTTAGGTTAACCAGGGGTTAAAGATGTGGGTGGGTTAAGTTAACTCAGGAGTTAATTAAACACCCTACACTTGGCATCTGCCGTCAGCCATGCTACCAATCCGATCTTCCTCTCAACGCTGGCTGGCCCCTTCTCCCATCCTATTAAGCTTTCAAAAGAGAATCTCTCTCTCTCCTCTCTCTCTCTCTCTCTCTCTCTCTCTCTCTCTCTCTCTCTGCGTGTTGTGTATGTATGTAGAGTAATGTTATTCTTAGCATATTTATTTACCATCTTAGGTGGCAGATGAGTTGGACAAGTTACATCATTTAATTTTAATTTTTTTTATTAATTAAAACATTTAAATAATCTTAGGTGTCAGAAGAAAACTCGTCTGTATACCACAATCTTCATTTAATTAACAATATTTTCATTAATTATTGATTAACATTTTGAAATTAAATGCTAATTAATTTAGATGATGTGGTTGTCCACATCAGATGTCACCTAAGGTGGTATACAATTATGGTACAAAAATATGGTAAAAATAACATTATTGATGCATGTATGTATCCTCATACTTTTAAAAGGTAAAAGTATCTATCGTATATGTATGTTAGTTACTTGGTTTGGCCCTTTGGGCAGGAAAGAGATCATCAACGGATTTATATATTAGGGATCAAATGATCCTGATCTTTAAAATTTAATCTTACGGTAAAAAATTATTGTAGCTTTTAAAATTTTTCACTAACTTCTTTACTTTTGGTCGTAGGATCAAATTTTAATGTCATGATCATTTGAACCATGGGCTATGGATGTATAGATCCATAGAAGATATCTTCCCCTTTCGGCAGCCTTCTTTAACAGTATCTCCAAAAGAGTTAGCAAATTTTTCAATGAAAGAGAACTTTGTTCATTTGGCACTTTTATGCTATTTAAAAATTTATCAATACATTCGATTAGTATTGTGGTATAGTGGTGTTTCTCTTCACTTATAAGTAAGAGGTCTTCGGTTCGATTCTCATTAAAAATGAATTTAACTCACATTATTACTAGCATATTGTGAGGCTTAGCCCATTATCCCACCCCTTAGTATAAATAATATTGTTAGTTAAAAAAAAATTTCACTACAATCTATTCAAATTTTATCTTTTACCATCAAATATTCATATTTTAACTTTATCTTATCTTGTAGAGTTCAAATTCTTTACTAAACAATACTTCCCAATAAAATATATTACAAGACCCAATTTCCTAACTTGAAAAAGTAACAATTGACTTTGTAAATATACCAAGTCAGTTTTTACTTCTTTATTTTGCTAAATGGGTTGCTATCTCCATAGGAGGTGCGTTTTCTACGTGACAGAGTAAGTTTTAGTTTGACACCCAGTTGATACTTCCTTGTAGATGCTTTAAGCGTTATTTGGTAATGAATACATTGCCCTAGTCGACCAATCCACCACATGCTCATCCTTATCGACTAATCCACCTCATGCTAATCTGTTGGTTTTGTTGGGTTTAAGTGAAGTTAGGTTAACCAGGGGTTAAAGTTGGGGGGTGGGTTAAGTTAACTCAAGAGTTAATTAAACACCCTACACTTGGCATCTGCAGTCAGCCATGCTACCATTCCCAAATTGCTCTCCACGCTGGCTGGCCCTTCTTCCATCCTATTAAGCTTTCAAAAGAGAATCTATCTCTCTCTATCTGCGAGTTGTGTATGTATGTATGTATCCTCAGACTTTTAGAAGTTGAAGTATCTGCCGTGTATGTATAGTTAGTTACTTTCATGGGTTTGGCCCTTTGGGCAGGAAATAGATCATCTATGGATCTATACATCAAGGATCAAATTATTTCGACTTTTAAATTTTGATCATGTGACAAAAAATTATTGTAGTTTTTAAAAAATTTCACTGACTTTTATGCTTTTGGTCGTATGATCAAATTTTAAGGCCATGACTATTTGATCCATGGGCTCCGGATGTATAGATTTGAAGAAGTTATCTACCCTTTTCGGCAACTGCACAGTATCTCCAAAAGAGTAATTTTCGATGATTCTTTGTTCATTTGGCACTTTCATGCTATTTAAAAATTTATCACTACAATCGCTTAGTATTGTGGTATAGTGATATTTCTCTTCATTTATAAGTGAGAGGTTTTCGGTTCGATTCTCATCAAAGACGAATTTGACCCATATTATTGCTAACTCATTGTGAGGCTTAACTCACTCTCTTAATATAGATAATATTGTCAGTTACAAAAACATATAACTACAATCTATTCAAATTTTATCTTTCACTATAACATATTAATATTTTAACTTTATCTTATTTTGTGGGGTCCAAATTCTTTACTAAACCATACTTACGAATAAAATATATTACAATATCCAATTTCCTAACTTGAAAAAGTAACAACTGACCTACACAAGGTCAGTTACTACTTTTTTATTATGCTAAACGGGTTGCTATCTCCATAGGAGGGATGTTTTTCTACGCGATAGAGTAAGTTTTAGTTTGATACTCAGTTGGTATTTCCTTGTAAATGTTCTAAGCGCTATTTGGTAATAAATACGTTTGCCCTAATTAAGGTACAAAATTTACATCAACAACCAGATTATAGTTGGTTTGACCTAAATAGGATTGTATTATTGACCTTTTGATTGTGATTTTCAACTAATTAAATAGATCTATATCCCATGATTTCGAGTTTGAACAAAGAAGTTGAAAACATTAGGGGAAGGGGCATTATGATCATTCTACAAATCCCCTAAATATTCCTAATTTTTCACAAAAATAAAATGAAAAAGATATCGGGTTATCTGACCCGAATCACGACCCATGGGCACTTTTACAGATCAACCGTCCAAACCGATCAACCCAACTGAATTGGATGAGTTTGAGTCGATTAGAATTTAAAAGATGAATAATGGGTTGTGGCCCGGCCACCCGCATATGAACCGGTTGATGGACGGTTTGAAAAATCCCACAGACGGATACCAACCCACCAGTGTAATACATTCATAGTTATGTTGCGTACGTGTCTAAATTTAATTGGCCCACAAACATCATTGCATCTTTCCTCCCTTTCAAAATCCAACCCGTTAAATTCATCTGTAAAATGCACTGCATCTAGAAACTCAACCCGTTAAATTCAACCCCCAACCCGACCGAGAAGGAATTAGGTGGGTTGGTCTGTCTATTGTCTTGGACGAAAATGGTTTGAAATAAGAGTAAATTATAGTAATGGTTCATCAACTTTAATTAAATTGAAGTAATGGTCTCTCAACTAAAAATTCATTACCATTAGTCCCTCAACTTATCAAAATGTGTAGCTATAGTCATTTTCATCAATTTCATCAAAATTTTGTTAAAAAAAAATTATGTTGGAATGACCATTTATACAATTAGAATCCCTCAACTCATCAAAGTGTGTAATTATGGTCATTTTCGTCAACTACGTCAAATTTTTTTTCAAAACGAGTTATGTTGGAAGGATCATCAATTTCATCAAAATTTTGTCAAAAAAAATTATGTTGGAATGACCATTTATACAATTAGGGTCCCTCAACTCATCCAAGTGTGTAATTATGATCATTTTCGTCAACTACATCAAAATTTTTGTCAAAACGAGTTATGTTGGAATGATCATTGCTACAATTGGGTTAACTTTAAGGGACAATTTATCCAATTGAATTAAAGTTGAGGGACCATAGCGGCACGTTTTGATGAGTTGAATGACCAATGATAATAAATTTTTAGTTGAGGGACCAATGGTAACAAATTTTTAGTTGAGGGACCATTGCTCCAATTGAGTTAAAATTAAGGGACCATAACTACAATTTACTCTTGAAATAATTTCAAACCGAAGATATTGGGTCAGCCAATGATTTAAGGTCGAAACTGAGCCGAGTCATCTGATGCCCACCCCTAGTTGAACTCACTCGACCTAATTAGCTTAAGAGTGATTTAGGTGGGTTAGTTTGTTTATTTTCTTGATTGAAATTGAATTTCATCAAAGCCAACACGAGCCTATTGAGTTGGCCAACGAGTTGAGACTTGAGATCTAACTCGACTAATCCACCCCATGCTCATCTTAATTGACGGTTATGTTACCAAGGAAGAAAATGTACGTATTAGCCTAAAACTTTTCCGGCTAGAAAGCCACGTGCATGCTTCCCAATCGAAACCCCATCCATCTTGGCGCGCAAGAACCTCGAAATTCCAAAAGCATTTCGCAAAGCCAGGGTTTTAGATTAGAGTCTAAAACCCCCCAAAACCCAAATGGCGCCTTCTGCCCTATCTCTATGAAACCCTCAGTCTCCCTCCACCCCCCTACCATGGCCCTAGCTTCCGGTCTCCGCTTGTCTTCCTCCATCCTCCGCTACCGCCTCGCCGCCCCGCTCAACCCGACCCGACTTTCCGGTCTCCGCCACAACCTCTCGGAGCTCCGCTTCCTTTCAGCATCATCCTCCCGCCCCAGGACCCGCGTCCGCCCAATTAAAGCGACGCTCCTTGACGAACCCCAAAAGGAGGACCCTGGCGAGGGGCAAGATGGGAACGGGAGTGTGCTGGTCAAGGACACAGGCGAGAATAGCGAAAGGATTGTCCGTGTTGAGCTCCACAAGGAGGCCACTGAAGCCTACATGGCCTACGCTATGTCTGTCCTGCTCGGCCGCGCCCTGCCTGATGTTCGTGATGGTTTGAAGCCCGTGCACCGCCGGATTTTGTAAGTGTTGTTTGATTATACTTTGTCTGGTTTCTGAGAGAAGTTGTAGGGAAAGGAAATGGTTAATAACCCTAGTAATTTTTGGCATCTTAACTAATTATTAGTCAGAGACTCAGATTGATGCCTCATATTCTGCATATCTCTCAAACTACAGGTATGCAATGCACGAATTGGGGATTGTGTCGCGGAAACCCTTCAAGAAATGTGCTAGAGTTGTTGGAGAGGTTATTGACATTCCGAGACCTTTTTGTTTCTTTTATTTGAAGCCCGGTATCTTTACATTTACGCTTAACATATATCATCACGCTTTAATGCAGGTTCTAGGAAAATTCCATCCCCATGGAGACACTGCTGTGTACGATTCGTTGGTGCGAATGGCTCAGGTAACTATAGCATTTCCTATTAACCCACAAGTGAATACATTGCTAAAGTTAAAATGGAAAAGCTAGTTGTGGATGTACAAAATACCGCAACTTATGTGCTCTATTTTTTCTGGATAGCCTCCTTGTAGTGTTTCATTTTTCTCATTTATTACAAATTTTGAGTTTTCTCAACTTTAGGAGTTAGTTTCTATAGAACTATTCCGAAACGTTTGAATATGTTCTTTCTTCATTTTGGGGTTCTTTGTGTGCCTGTCTTGTTTTTTTTTTTAATATTTCTTTCTGGATGACATTGTAAGTTTATTGAAAAGTGTAATCACAATATATATTGAGAAACAACTTTGCTCAATGTTTGATGGAAAAGAGGATTTGGAGAATTATAGTGAAGTGGGGATTGAGGTGTTATTGGGAAAAAAGTCAGATTTTGGTCCTCACTTTTGGCTTCTGTGTCATTGAGTTTTGTTCTACGTTATTTTATTATGTAACTGAATGGAAATCAGGCTTGCAATTTGTAGTTTTTTGTTCCGATTATGAGAGAAAGTGTACTGTTTCCTTTGTTGTTCAGGTTATGTTGACGTGTTGTTTTGGTGGATAACCTGTCCAGTATATGTTATTTTGTTTTTTAATAGAGTTTTTTCCCCTATTGGCCATTTACACTAAATTGGAAGCGTGCGGTGCCTTGTTCAATCTTAATTTCTTCATACAGATGTAGCTCTGTGGGTTATTTTTCCTTCTGCTCTTGGTGGATTGCTTATGAATTTTTTTTTCTTACCAACAAACTTGCACATCTTTGGTATTTATGGCTGGAAAGAAATATAGATGTTGACGGTAGAATAATCAATTTGGAGAACAGAAGCACAACGTCATTGATAACTCTTTGAATGCACAAGAAAGGCTACACCATCCTTTGCTGCATCTTTTGATTTTCTCTCTTTATGGATATTAATGTCTGTATGCTAGTACACTTGGGAATGTCCCCTTAATGTCATTACAGTAAAATGCCATTACTTAAGGAAACCTCGTTTCCAGAAATTCCAGCTTCTGGATTATGCTGAATTTTCTCTTTAATTTTCTTTTTCTTTGCTGAATTCTGATGTGATCAAACCGTAATTAGTTAATTCAAGTGTTCTAATTTCCTTGAATCATAATTTTCCAGGATTTCTCCTTACGATTCCCACTAATCCAAGGGCATGGGAATTTTGGTTCTATTGATGCTGATCCTGCAGCTGCCATGCGTTACACGGAATGCAGATTGGAAGTATGTTCATATGCTGTAGTTACCTTGAATACCATATTGGTTCTTACAGGCTATTCTTATATTTATGATATTGGAATGAATATTAAGATCTTTATCATACATGTTTACTTCAGCAATCGGTCAACCTCTCTCTCCGTTTTTTTCTCTCTATCTCTCTCTCTCGTGTCCCCCTCCCCATCTCATTTGCTTTTTTTGTTTTTGCTTTTTCCATGACCACCTCTCTTGCTACATAGCTGGTTGTCCAAGTAAATGTGTCATCAACCATCATGAATAGTTTCCATCATCAGTAATACTCTTGCTTAAAAGTCATTATTCAGGCCCTAAAAAATCTGTTACGGATAACCATTAAAGTTATGACATGATATTGTAGCAGGCATGCTGATATTTAGGGTGCATTAGTCGTTCAATCAGTCCCCTTTCTCCTATAGGATTTGCGTTTGTAAGGAATGTATTCATCTTTAGAAATCGTCATTAATATGCTTATTTTTGCAGGCACTGACAGAAGCAATGCTATTGGCAGACTTAGATCAAAATACGGTCAGAGCCGTTCATTATCTAGTCATACAGCTAATATACTTACATCATTAATATGTTTGTGCACAATGTGAATAACGTGGTGCAGGTTGATTTTACTCCAAATTTTGATAATTCACAAAAAGAGCCATCAGTTTTACCTGCTCGACTTCCAACTTTATTACTGAATGGTGCTTCTGGGATTGCGGTAATTTTTTTAAGATTACATTGTCCTTCATAATCAAAAGCTGCTGCCTCTGTTTTGTTCTTCTTCAGTAATTCTATATTCGCATCGGTAAATATATTTTCAGGTCGGCATGGCAACAAACATTCCTCCGCATAATCTTGGGGAATTGGTAGATGTTCTTAGCGTGTTAATTCACAATCCAGAAGCCACGGTAAGTGGTGAATTTTTTTTTTCTCTTATCTTTTTCATGTTTACGTGTAGGTATACCGTATATTACAGTTATTCCTTTGGAAAATAGAAGTTCTGTTGTACTTTAAGTTTTCATTTGGTTCATAGTGCATGTTGATAATACTTATAAAAATGTGCTGTATCCTTCAAATGACTATCACAATTTGTTATTCCTGAAAAGACTTTCATTGTAAATAACAAAATTGAGTCCGTTAACAAAAGCCAACTGTAACAGAGCTCGACCATCTCTTCTTTTATCTCCAGCCACATTATTGTTTCTATCTTTTCCTCACACAGTGGCAGCTCCTATTCCATTGACGAGGTTGATGGATATACTTTCATCCTATATAGGTGCAGGAACCCTTGTTCTGTCAAACAGACTTATAACCTATTCTCCATTCAAAAGTACTTCTTTTGATTTGTAGAAATGCAGCAATTATGAATATAACCATGGGCTACAGTGGGCTTTGATATCTTTCGAATTGCTCTTGAAGTTAAGCCATTTATTAGGATGATTTGAAACTTTGATATTAAAGCATCTCATTATTGTGCCATACACATTAACGTTTAAGTATGACTATTGCATTGCTGTCACTTTTCTTCATTGAAGTAAGAGATTTGATTGGGGATATTCTGAACCCTCGATTTAACTAAAGAGATCTTTAATTTCCACTAATTCTATTTTGTTTTTGTTTTTTCTTTATTTTCCCTTTCATTTTGGCTTTTGAATTTTTGACACTTTGTTTTCCCTGTGGTAGTTGCAAGAATTACTAGAATACATGCCAGGACCCGATTTTCCAACTGGAGGACTGATTATGGGCAACCTTGGGTAAGTGGGAACCAGTTAATAATTTGCAATTAGAAACACGATCTATTGTAATATGCTCAGATGAAGTATGGATAGCATATGAAATATGGATAGCATCCTCCTTTTAATAGCTCTTTCCTTGGTTTTTACTAGTTCTTATCATTTTCAACGTTTTCGTTTGAATAGTTTGATGGAAGTGGTGATATCACACGTGCTGTTATTTTCATGGATATGGCTATGTTTGTAGTTTGTATGCAGACAGTTTTATTACATTTTCTGAATGACATAGAGAAGAATAGTGTACCTACTGTGATTGAAGATATCAAATAAGTTTATGAGAGAAATATAGGAATGCCATGGTGGCATAATTATCACTTCTTCTTAGCTGGCTGCTTCCTTATGCATTCATTAATTTTGGATATATGCTTATTTCTTGAAGAATCTTAGATGCATATCGAACCGGAAAAGGACGTATTGTTGTAAGAGGGAAAACTGATGTTGAATTGCTTGATTCTAAAACAAAGAGAAATGCAGTTATCATAAAAGAGGTAACCATCTTGGTCATTGTATAGTTTGCACTAAATATGCAGTCTTAGTTTTCATCAAAGAGTTACTTGTTTTGTTGATTGTGCTCTGTGAATAAATCAGATCCCTTACCAAACCAACAAAGCAGCTCTTGTGGAGAAGATAGCGGAACTTGTGGAAAATAAGGTGATTCTTGCAAGTAGCAAACGATCATTTCAAAAGTTCTGAATTCTTCACTTAAAGTAAAAAGGTCATACATTGTTGTTAACTGTTATTGCCTTTTTATTTCTTCTGATGTTTCCCTTTTCTTAATTTTTTTTTTCTTTTTCTCCCTTCAGATTTTAGAAGGCATAAGTGATATTAGGGACGAAAGTGATCGTTCTGGAATGCGTGTAGTCATTGAGGTATGAAATTAGTTTTATGCCGTGTGTTGCTCTGTGTAGTTTGTAGATTTTAAATACAAACATGCTTAAGAACTCACATACTTTGGGAAATTTAGTTTGTAAAATGGGTCTGCAGTTCTTGTCAAATACAAAAACAATTATTCTGCAATTGATAGTGATCTGTTTACATCCTTTTTTCAGCTCAAGCGAGGATCCGACCCATCAATTGTTTTAAATAATCTCTATCGCCTCACATCTCTTCAATGCAGTTTTAGTTGTAACATGGTGGGGTGAGTGGTTTCTTTTCTCAATAACTACGAATGCAGGTAGAGAGTTAAAATTTCTGGCTCTTGGTTCTTGACTGGTGTAAATAATAGAAAGTTTGGAGTGCAAAATGAGATTTTGGAGTGCCAATAACAATTCCCCTTTTTTCCTAAACAGCTCTAGCTGATTTTTTGAGCTAAAATTGAAACTAACTGATTTTTACTCAAATGTTATGACTTCAAGGAACCAAGATACATGGTTGGAACTCCTATTTGTACACTAATTTCGTAAGGAAAATGAAATTAGTCTATTGTTGTTGGATTAAGTTATTTCAGTTAAAACCTGTAAAAAAAAATTCTCAAATGTTGTAGTGGTGTACAAGGCTGTCTGATCACATTACTCACAAAGCCATCATTTTCAAGGCCCAGGGCCTTATGGGTTGTCATTGTATTTGTTCTAATGTTGTTGGGAGTCAGAACTCGGGATCTCTTGGAGGCAAATTTAATGAAAGCTTTTGTAATGTTCAAAAGGATGGGGTGATAATTGCAACAACCAACTACACATGTCTTATTGCAAAATGAGAAGGGTTCAATCCAAAGTAATGATTTTAGACTTTAGGCCATTGAGTTTGAGATTGAAGCAGGCTTTGGGAATAGAATCAGACAAACACAAGGTAATTAAATCTGTGAAGTTGTGGAACACTTGTCGACTATGCTTGCATCGGATGGCTGTAAACTGCCATTAGTTCTTCATTGTAAAGCAGAACTATCAGCGAAATATTGCCAAATATTTTCAATTTTCATATCGATGTCATATCTTTGGATTTGACTTCATCTATTCTTGTATCATAGGGAAGTTGTTTAGAACCAAACTGGCGAAGTGTCCAATGTAGCCTTTATTGCAATGTCACACAATATATTAATAAACAATCCGATGGGCTGAATTTCTTCCTTCTAAATGATTCTGGTGTTCGTGAACTTCTGTTTTCTCTTTTTGAAAATTACATTGTATTTTTCTTATTAAACTTTTCTGCGCACATGATTCATCACATTACTTGGATTTTCATTTAGTATTTTTTACCATTCACAGTATTCATAATGGGCAACCTAAGCAGATGGGTCTAAAGGAATTGCTGCAGGTACGTATGTTTGGACTCTATAGCATGCATGCCCAAGCACTGTTCCATTTTCTCACTCATGCATATAATAATATCATAGAATATAATGCTTAAACAAAAATTTTCTTCAAAATTTCTCTTGGAAAACCTGACTGTTTTGGTTTATTGTGGTAAATTCTTTTAAGAAAATGTTGATTCCTTTTTCCCCTTAAGAATTCATTAATGCTAATTGGGCTGATGTTGTTTCATTAGGATAGGGGCTGATGTTGTTTCATTAGTGGATACTTGATAGTTGAATTTATTTCGGTTTCATGGTTTTGCACCGAGGGCATGCTTACTTAACGGAAATGGAAAAATGAACTAATAGGAGAGCTTAAAAATAGAAGAAGCAAGGAAAGGGAATCAGATCAACGAGTCCTTCCTAGTCGATCTAATTCCTTATGTTTAGGTATTTGATTACGGATTTTAAGGAAAACTTGAACTTTTCCGATTCCTTGCGTGTAAGTACATGCAGGGAAAAATTTAGGAATGAAAATGATTCCCTTAACCATATTTTAGTAAACAGTGGTAACTAAGGAATCAAAGTGATTCAAATTCCTATTCCTTATATTTAAACTATCTCCAAATTGTAACTGAATTCAGTACATAGTAGGTGGGCTGGTTCCTCGACAAACTATACTTGCATTAAAGGCAAAGGTTCTCAAAATTCAGAAATATTTCACTTGTACGGGTTGGGTAGTTCAGATCCTTGAGGCTCCAGGTTTTTCTAGTTAGCCATTTAGTTCCCCTGCTCCTATTATAAATCTAGTCAGCACAGCAGTCATTGGGAAATTTAGATGTCTGATTTGATTTGCAATGATTTTATTGTAACTGCTTGGATAAATTTTCTTAACTCAAACCTATCTTGTTACTGTTTTTCATTTACCTTTATTCTTTTTGGTTCTAAAGCATGCAACTAATGGTTGATATTTGGTTCATCATGTGAGAATGTGAGGACAAAGTTCCACATTGGTGAGGGACCAAACCATGCAAGGGTTTATAAGAGGTTGGGTTACTCCCCATATTGCCAATTGGTTTTATGATGGAACCTCTCCTAATTTGGCTCATCACTCCTAACTCCTAAGTGTTGAAGATTAATCTATTTTCAATCATTGTCTTTTAGAGAGTATCATATTCTAGATTTAAGATATTGGTACTTGTCCTGATACAAGGTTCTCAATTTCTTAAATGTTAAGGCTGTGCTCAGTGTTACTTTGTTTATTAAATGTTGACAGGCATTCTTAGACTTCAGATGCTTTGTTGTTGAGAGACGTGCTAAGTTCAAACTTTCACAAGCACAGGACAGAAGACATATTGTTGAGGTATGCTGTTCTTTTTCCTAATTCTAATGAATTTTATTCTTAAGTTGTCATAATGATAATAAAGGGATTTTTGGACATCCATGTATGTGTGTTTTAAACCACAGGTGAGAACTTGGAGAAGACTTCATTCATATTATTCTAGCTTATCTTTAGGCACTGCTGTGTTATTGTGACTCTACTTTGATATATCCATATTTATGCCACAACACTACAGACTCATTGTTCATATGTATGTTCTTGTTTAAATAGGGCATTGTTGTGGGCCTTGATAATTTGGATGCAGTAATTCGTATACTAAGGGAAGCTTCGAGCAATGCAATTGCATCAGCTGGTTTAAGGACTGGTTAGTTCCCCTATGTTTTTGGGTGTTCTCTTGTCATCAACTTAAGTAGATAAGTTATGCTTGAAAAGAACTGAGACATGATATTCTGTCATTGTCATTGAACTTATGTTTTTTGGATTTATAATTTTTGCGGTATTTATGTTTTCTTGCTTCTGTGGTGAGACTTACCCTTGCTAAGATGATAATTTTTTGGCACTTATTTGGGGTTAGTGCAACAAAAGTTATGGAAAGTGATGGTTTAACCAGTCAGAACCTTTCAATGAGCTTTTATTTTTGTCTAACTTGGGTTTTAGGGGTAAATTTTCATTTGTGCCTCACTTAGTGAGACTTTTTCTGTAATAGGCTAGAATTCCAATTCAGCAACAGTTAATCTAATCATGTTTTTCAATTTTGTTATTTCACGTTTCCTTGATGTCTGGGGTTTGGCATTTATTTTCTTTGATATTTGGAGTTCTATCATCTCTGGAATGCGTACTCTTTAATCCGTATTCGGTCCATAACCTGATATGTTCTTTTCATTTTTCTCAAATGGATATCTAGCTTAATCAACTGTGGGTAAAATCTACTTCCCAAGCTGAAGCCACAAAATTCTGAGTCTCAGTCCATTGCCAATTGATTTTGGGTTGGATGCGCTAGTTTTAAAAGTGCCCAATAATTCGTGAAGCCATATACATGTCTAACTGCAATATATGTGTTAACTGCAATATATGTCAACTTACACCTTAGCTGGTTTCCAAGTTTCCTATTCTCACTAACGGTGAATATCTTTTTCAGTTTGTTTTCATATCATTTACTTAATTGTGATGGCTGCTTTTCAGCAGTAGGTGTGAAAGCACTAATATTTTTCTCGTATTCTCTTATACAGAGTTCAATCTTTCTGAGAAACAAGCTGAAGCCATATTAGATATTAGCCTAAGAAGAATTACCCAGCTTGAGGTGCATAACAGTTGTGCTATTCAAATGCATTTTTTGATTGCTTAATGAGATGCATTGCTTCTTAATTCCGTATCCTATTCTTCATATTGTGCAGAGGAAAAAGTTTGTAAATGAAAGTGAATCATTAAAGGAGCAAATTTCAAAATTAGAACAACTATTGTCAAGCAAGAAATCCATGTTACAGGTAAAAATATAATTCCAATTGGTTGCGTGTATTGCAAAGGTGTTTATGCATTTACTTATTTTTCAGTCACATAGTAATAGGATGTTATTGATTTTCCTCTTATTGCTAACCTCCTGTGCCGTACCTCTGCCTAATTAGGCTAAGTTTATGGCCCAGTTGGACTCATCTTGTCCCCATTATTATGAAACATTTATGAAGCATTCTGCACTGAAAAAAAGAAACATGTATGAAAGCTTTATGGTTCAGATTGAATTACAATGCTTTTTTCTTTCTTTCTTTCAATTAGTTGATTGAACAAGAAGCAAACGAGTTAAAAAGCAAGTTTTCCAGTCCGAGGCGTTCCGTGCTAGAGGACAGTGATGGTGGCCACGTTGATGACATAGATGTTATTCCTAATGAAGAAATGCTTTTGGTACATGCTAATATCATCTTTTTCATGGAATTTATATTTTGGCCCTTTTTCCAAAGAAAAAAAATATAAAATAAAATAAACCATTTATTTCTTTCTTCAAGTTTTCTTGGCATATAATTTTCAGGCCTTCAGTGAAAAGGGCTATGTTAAGCGGATGAAACCTAACACTTTCAATCTTCAAAATAGAGGAACCATTGGTAAATCTGTTGGGAAATTGAGGGTAAATGATGCAATGTCAGACTTTATTGTTTGTCGCGCGCACGATCATGTTCTATACTTTAGGTACTTCTCTCCCTAACTTTGTCTAATGATTTGAAGGATTAACATACTCTCTATGTGTACTCGAGGACTTGTAAAGTGGTACATTGAGCATCATAATGTGGTGCAGTTGACGTTGAAAACATAATACTTCCTTTGCTAAAGGGGTATTTGGAGAAGTAAAATTAGATCCAATTGTCCTTATTATTACCAATGTTATATATCACAATGGTTGGTTCACATCATTCAACATGATGAGACACTATAAGGCCCTATATCCTTTGTTGTACCAACTGGAATTTTCTTCACTGCCACCATGTAGGAGCTTAGGAATCATGAATAGTTGCCGAATCATGCACATGACTTTTCTTCATTACCACAATGCCACCACATAGGAACTTAGGTATCATGCACACGAAACATACTTAAAATGCATACTGATCTCATTCCCTAGATTATTCATAATTATGTTTCCAATCAGTGTTGGGAAAGGATAAAAAGGAATATGCACGGGTTTTTTCGCATAAGAATTGGGAAATAGGTTTTCTTTGTAATCCATATCTTTCCGGCTAAGGAATGGGAAATCTTTCTCTTGTTACATGAATCCAATTTTCATTTCATCCGGGAAAAGCCATCGGTTTCTCAACAATGTCTTTGTCCAGTCAGGTTAGTATTAGGAAATAAGTTAGTTTTCCCTATTCTATAAGGATTTAGGAATCCTATACTCGTAAGGCTTGTAACCATCGGTCTATGTACTCTAAATAGGCTTGTTGGGGGCTGTTTTATTCACAAGAACATTAAAGAGAATACAAGGGTAGAGAGATCTAAAGCAAGGTTATGGGCTTTAGCTTAAGATTTTCACTAAATTCTTGCAATTGAGTTGTTATTCTCCGTAGTGCAAGTGATTTCTCAAGAGAGATCGGAGTAGGCAAAGTTCGCCGAGCCGCGCTAAATTCTTTTTGTTTGTGTGTGGCGTGTTTACTTCATGGCTCATATATTCGCATAGCATCATCTTATAAGTTTGCATAACACTGGAGACTATTGATAAACAAGATCAACTAAGAGGGATTAAAATCTACACACACAAGATGTTGCATAAAACATGTTAAATCATGAAACAGATTATTAATCACAACCTACAGCATTCCAGTTAACCTAGAAGGCTAGAACTGAGAAAGCTGATTGTATATAGATTGTGAGACATGCATCCGTCTTTAGCTTGGGTTCTAGCCCATTTAATATACTCATTTTTGGCATGTCTAGTCTCCTTATTATTTCCCTCTAACCATGTTTTTATTGTCTTGCACTTCATATCGCAATACTCTATGTTTGTGTTAGTTCCCCATCTGGTTTGATTTTAAGTATGGATTAGTTCCTTGTATGGTTATGTCAGGGGCATCATGACATTCCCCTATGCATCTAATTGTTTACTGTCGTCACATAGGATATCAGAAGTTAAAAAACAGTAATGATTTTCAGAGGTTTCCAACTTGTTCCGTATGCATTTACTAATTATAGCCTACTTTATGCTGAACCCCAGAAAATATCAAGTTGTTGAAAATATATTGATAAATCAACAATGGACAATCAATAATGTAGATTTGACATTCTGTAACGTTAAATGCTTTTACTGGTGCTTGTAAGGGTGTCACTTGAGTGAAATCTTTTCTTTATAGGTAGTTGTATTTGATTTGGGAGCTCCTAATCCTAAAAGACTGCAAACCTAGTTCTTGGTGTCATGCCCTATGGCCTGCCCAATGAAAGTTATCAAAGAATCTGCTGTTGTCCATCTGGTTCCAGAATTAGAGTTGTGATACATTTTGGTGATGGATGACTTACGAAAGTTATTTGCAGTGATAAAGGAACAGTTTACTCTGGTCGTGCATATAAAATTCCTGAATGCACTCGCACAGCTGCTGGGACGCCATTGGTTCAGGTAATTTACCTTTTACCTTTGGCTTTTACTAATCAATCCCTCTTTTCTAGACATTCATTTAAAAGTTACTTATTATTATCATTGTTTTTACACTGGAGCCAGATCTTAGCACTGTCAGATGGTGAAAGGATTACTTCTGTTATTCCTGTGAGTGAATTTGCTGGAGATCAGTTTCTACTTATGCTTACAGTGAATGGATACATCAAGAAGGTCTCTTTGAGTTCTTTTTCGTCAATCAGGTCAACAGGAATCATAGCAATCCAATTGGTTCGTTCTCTTTCTCTGCTTTTGACTTGATTACTGGTCATCCATAAAATTTTCTTTTGGCTCACAGCTCATCATTTATATGACAGGTTCCTGGTGATGAACTAAAATGGGTTCGTTGCTGCACAAACGATGACCTTGTAGCGATGGCCTCTCAGAATGGAATGGTCATCTTAAGTTCCTCTGGTATAGTAAGTATACAGCAATTTCCATCTCGTTCATACATTCATTTGCAGTTCAAACCTCTATAACATTATTTTTACTTTTACAACTACTACTAAAACTATTAACTACTATTTTATAATTACTAGTACTACTACAACTTTTTTTTTTTCCGTCTCTATGAGGCGGCACTGTAGTTATTCATGACCAGTGAAAGAAGATCATTTCTTTTTTTATTTAAGTCCAGGACTTATTTCTGATCATTGTTTGCATGAAACATGATTTGCCACATTGCGACAGCAAAAATGGGAGCTTGCAAAACTGCTAATTGTTATTTTATTTTGATGCAAAACTGCTACTTATAGAAGGAGGTCATAGGCCTGATTTTCGGTCAGATCGGATCGGAATATATGAGAATTTCGGAAGTTCATAAACTCATGCCGAATCCAGTATTTTTCGAAAATCATATTATTTCGCAATTTCAAAATTATGGGAGTTGTCTGATTTCATCTATTACCAAGAGAAAAAAATATGTCATCTCCATGGCTCTCTCTACATAGTAAAATTTTATAGTTCTCAAATTCTCTTTTTTTGTATTAATATATTCAAGGGAGTTGTAATTGAAAAAATAGTTACATATTTGAGTACATTGCATTACAAATCCAAAGTCAATTAAGTACATAATTAAGTGTATGCAATAGAGTTATGCAAGTTTCGAGTAGCGTAGCATAAAAGAAATTGGTAGCATAAAAAGGAAATGGCTTAGGAGTCTTGGCTAGTTTGAGCTGGAAGACAAGTCGAAGAAGTCATTTTTTTTTTTTTTTTATAGATAAACAAAACAGGCCAAAACCCATCTTTTTTGAAATTTTTGGATTTTTTTTTCGGAATTTCAGTTTTGGATATGAATCGGACAGAATATTTTGGCTCGGAATTGGTCGGAATCGGATATTCCTATTGCACCCCTATGTGGTCGAGCAAGGGTAAAACAATATGGTTAATTTACACTACTTTAAAATAAGTTTGGATATGATAGGTAATGTTAAGTAAGATTCATCACATCATATAATCTTTTAGAAAGAAAGGTACAGGAAGAAATACGAGGATATACATGCGGTTCCCAATAGAGTTCTGAAAAAATGTTACCCTTGATTGATTTTGTTTTCTTATTCACATATCAGTATTGTTATATCAATTCCTGTAGTTTGTTTGTATGTACAGAAAGCAATGATACAAAAGACCGCAGAAGTGGAGTGCAAATTTGATAATTTATGTGCTTACCAAAATTGTATATGTTTTGAAAGTGAGAAAATACTTTAAAATTCTTTACCAAAAAAGAAAGTACCTAAATGATTTCAGAATTTCAATGCTAGGATGGTGTAAACAGTTTCTAGAAGACTTATGTGAGTCATAATTATGCTACTTCTGGATATCCTAGTAAAAAACTCGGTTTAAAAGTTGTTTCATATCAGTCATGCTTATGCTACTTTCAAGAGATTCAAGTAAACCAGTGTCCCTATGATTGTTTTTGTAGATGCATCTGCATCGTGATTACCTTTGATCTAAGTCATCCATATGTTACGTCAAGTGCTTTATAGTTTATAGCAGCTGAATTTGGAGTTCGGTTCTTTTATCAGTGTTTTAATTTAGCCTTCATGGATAGCTTTATATCTTTCTTTTTTTTTCTTTCTTTATACCGGATGACAAGTGATGCCAAGGCTGTGCCATTACTGTTGCTTAGTTCAAATAGAGGTTAGGGAAGTTGTAAGAGTTTTTATCTGGGGAATTTCTCGTGGTGTCTAATGTGAACACTCTTGAAGAGAAGATCAAGGATTTATCAGTTTGTTTATCTCCCTTGTACTTTCGCATTTATATTCTCTTTCCTGGGGTCATCTTGTATCTCCCTTGTACTTTTGTTCCCTTTTTATGTTTAAGTGTCCATCATCTTGCAGGTCCCAAATCATTGGAACTAGTACATGGGTAGTACTATCTGTGCTCCGATCCGATTTATCACAAAGTTTATCTAACAATTGATGTAAAAATCCCTGAAGGATATCTTTACTTACCATTTTGCATCTTTTCATGTTCTGTACCAGATTCGAGCACAAGGGAGAAACACTAGGGGTGCAGTGGCCATGAGACTTAGAGAGGGGGATAAGATGGCTAGCGTGGACATTATACCAGCAGCTATGTGGAAAGACTTGGAGAGGGTGTCTGAAGCTCCCCAAGACACGTAATTCCTTTACCAGTAAAATGAGTTGTTTCTCGCTTGTCATTAACTAATTGTTGATCAGCTTGATACTTGACTTTAGGGGTGCTGGGTTAGCTTGACTGACCAAAACCTAGTAATAAAGTGCTTTTTCCTGGATGATTGGGTTACTTACCCAATCTGTAGTTAGATTAAGATGTAAAGTAAACCTAATTTATGGTAGGGGTTGATTAGCAAAAAATCGGGGTTAGAGTCATTCGACATGAGTTGGTATTTTGTACTATAGACCACTAGTGGGATAATTACCAAGAACCAATAGTTTAAATTGAGCAAACAAAAATGGCTGGAAGGAGGTTAAAAGTAGCATGGGTTAAAGCTGTAACCAATGATATAATTATCATCACCTGAAGGAAAGTTGACCCTAGTTATTGGAATCAATTATTCTCCAGAGGCAGTGTAACCAGAATTATCTGATACATTAATCTTATGTTTTGTGTTGATTTTTTCCACAGTACTAGAAGTCTGAAGGGCCCGTGGTTATTATTTGTTTCTGAGAGTGGATTTGGAAAGCGTGTTCCCTTGAGCAGGTTTCACTCCTCCCGCTTGAATAGGGTTGGTCTGATAGGGTACAAGGTATGCTTATGATCATATAAAATTTTTTGTTGAAAGCTTTGTGATCTGTTCTTTGTCTTCAGCTTTTGGGCTCATTCCTTTCTCACTGCTCTTAAATAGTTTGCCTTAGAGGATTGCTTGGCAGCAGTTTTTGTGGTCGGGTTCTCTGTGGCAGGTGATGTTTGTAAATTACTTTGTAGTCTATTTTCCGATGGCTACGAGTGTTCTCTTGAGCTGTTTTTAACTTAAATGTAAATTAACAGAAGATGGAGAAAGCGATGAACAAGTGGTTCTAGTAAGCCAAAGCGGCACAGTCAACAGAATTAAGGTGCAGGATATTTCAATACAGTCCCGCTATGCGAGGTAAACTTCAACTTCGGTATTTTCTTTCCTTGTATTCTGAAATTTAGATTGAAATACCAGTATGATGGAACAATAGGATTTGCATGTGTTAAAATGTCAAACCCTTGTTCTCTCTTATTGTGGCCATGGTTGAAATTGTGCTAGTTCACATATTTTATATCGATATACATGTTTGCAGGGGAGTTATTTTAATGCGGCTTGATCATGCTGGAAAGATTCAGTCTGCTTCGTTAATGTCAGCAACGGACGGGGAGCCTGAGGACGTAGAAGTTGAAGCTGCCGTACATGGCTAACTGCTAACCTTAACAGGTGAATAGCTCTTAGCAATTTGAGGATCAACTTGTAGCGCCAACCCTTTTTTTTTTTGGTTTTGGCTGGTGTTGTGGCGCTAATCAATCGTTCTGTTCTGGCCGGTTTTTGTGGCGCTAATCAATCATTGTGTTCTAGCCGGTTTTTGTGGCGCTAAACAATCGTTTTGTTCTAGCCGGTTTTTGTGGCGCTATACAATCGTTTTGTGTTGGCCGGCGTTGTGGCGGTAATATGTATGTACAGCAGTACAGGTAAGCTAAGCCACAAGTTTGGTGACCGGATTCTGGTGAGAAGGGTGACCAATTTAGTAGCGCTAAACCCTAAACAAAGTTTCTCCACAGTTGTGATGTCCTTTAAATTGCAATAGTTATGTTTAATGGATATCGATATCGGTCGTCTGGTAAGGGTGTCCTTGCTTAACCTACCCTTTTAACTATTTTCAGATGAGTAAATTGTAGCAATGATTTTTTAACTTTAATCAAATTGGAGCAACGGTTCCTTAACTAAAAATCCATTACTATTGGTCCCTCAATTTATCAAAATATGTAGCAATAGTCATTTTCATCAATTTTGTCAAAATTTTGTCAAAATAAGTTATGTAGGAATAATCATTTATATAATTAGGGTTCCTCAACTCATCAAAATGTGTGATTATGGTCATTTTTGTCAACTACGTCAAAATTTGTGTCAACGAGTTATGTTGGAAGGACCATTGCTACAATTGGGTTAAAGTTAAGGGACTATTTTTCCAGTTAAATTAAAGTTGAGCGATCAATGATAATGAATTTTTAGTTGAGGGATCATAGCTGCACGTTTTGATGAGTTGAAGGACCAATGTTAATTAATTTTTAGTTGAGGGACCATTGCTCCAATTAAATTAAAGTTAAGCGACTATAACTACAATTTACTCTTCAGATTTCAAAGTTTACCCTAGTGGTAAAGGACAATATTACCCTTAGAGTAAAATGATTAACAAAGACATGAATTTAAGAAAACCAAACCCACCTCGGAGAATAGAAATACTACATGTGGCCCTAAAGTTAGAGAGCGATTTATATGGAACGTTTTCATTTTCATTATTGCGCCCTTGTCGAATAACGCATTAACATCAGGTTTCTCTTCCTAAGATTTTGAAATCTTACACGTGCATGAAACTCCACTAGACCTTCATCAAACTTCAGGGATTTATAGCTCCATTAAAAACCTTTAAAATTTCAATTGGATGCAACCCCTTTAGTCTCTTGGATTATTGAATTGAGATTTTGAAATATTTAAAACAGGGTTTTAAATCCATGGAGTTTAATTAGTTTCATACACTCCATGTGATGGATGAAATCATTAGAAATCTTAGGGAAGGCAAGATTTCCTAATGCCTAGGAAACAAACACTATAAAATCTCTTTGAATCCATTAAAATTTCATCTTTCAGAATACTTAAAATCCAATCATAATTGAATACATATGTGGTTTGTTTGGATGTGCTTTTAAAATGACTGTAAACGTTTTTAGAGAAAATATTTTTGAGTCTCAAAAGCACTTGAAGTGCTTATGTGCTTCATCTATGATTTACTTGCATTTTTACTAAAGATTGATTCTATAAATATTTTCACCAAAAATGCTTTCAGTCATTTTAAAAACGCATCTAAACGAGCCCATAGAGTTTTATGAATTACTTTGATATTCAGAATAAATACACTTTGATTTCTGTAGAATTTTATAAAGGGACCCTTTAAAATCTTTTTTGAATACTCGTGGACTTCCATAATTCATTTAAATCTTGATTAAATACATATGAATTTGTAAAGTCTTTTAAATCTTTTAAACTTCTAACTGAATACATGTCCCTTAGTCATTTAGTCAACGTTATTGAAATATAAACAAGGGTATTTAGACATTTTCAATGTTTTTATTTATGTCATTCATGTCATTCATATCGTTTTTTCTATTTTAGAACTCTAAATTTAAAATCTTTCTATTACATCTAATTTCCTTACATCCTTAGTCATTTCCCATCTTTAAATGTATTCCTATCTACATATCTATTTTTAATTCTTACACATTCGTTTCAATTTTCAGTCATCAAATTAAATGAATTTAAAAGGAATTTTTTTATTAGCACCTCATATTTTGTTGACTACACCCCACATAATAATTTAATATTAAATTGCTCATAAAAATACTATTTAAGCCCTAAAATGTTCTAAAATTTAAAAAGAATATTCTAAATACACCCTAAGTTCTTTTTTTTAGTTATGCCTAAAATTTACTTCTATGCTCTCACATAAGCAATATGACTATTTTTTCCAAAAAAAAATGAACAGGTTTTCCGTAAAAGTTTAAAAACTCAATGTGAAACTCCATCACTTCAATATTATATACATACAACTGCAAGACTTAAACCCTTTTGCCCTCAAGTCAGTTTGGGTGAGGCTTGTGTCCTTTTGTCTTTGCTTTAATGAAAACTCATTTCGACTAAAAGAAAGATTGAAGAATTATATAGGTTACTGATATGAAAATTGAAAAGAAAATTGGAGGAAACAAGTTTGTGAAGACGAATACGCGGGTTTGATGTGGGGTGTATGTGAGGAGTTTAGAGTGTGAGGGTAGCTTGGGATAGAATGTGAGGTGTATTAAGATATTTTTTTAATTTAAAATGTAGATGTGGGGTGTTTTTAGTACGTGAAGTGTAATCAACAAAATATGGGGTGCCAATAAAACTAACGAAAAATCCAGAAAAACTTTCCTTTTAATGAAAAGTTATTTTTAAAAGTATAGTGAATAGTACCAGAAAAGATATAAATGTGGTTTTTCGTTAAAAATGAACAGGACCGGGAGTTTTTTGTTAAAACTTCCAAAAAAAATAAAATTAACGAAAAATACAAAAACTTCCCTTTTAATGAAAAATAGTGAATAATATCAGGAGAATGTATAAATGTGGTTTTTAATTAAAAATAAATAGTACCGTGTGTTTTGGTAAAACACCCTAAAAAATCAAGGGAGTATTAACAAAACACTTTTGGTACTGTTCACTTTTAACGAAAAACCACATTTTTACCGTTAACTGATACTATTCACTGTCAAAAGAGTTTTTCCTTAAAAAAGAAGTTTTTTTTGAACTTTTTCTTAATTTTCCTAAAAATCAATGGCTAAACATTAAGCAATTGTGTGAATATCATTATCCTCTTTCAATCCCATTCTTACGGAGGATTAGCAGCTATACTAGCACAGTGAGGCAGAGGAGGCAGAGGCAGAGGCAGAGGCAAACTCGAAAGAAAGAAAGAAAGGAAGGTCGAAAAATGGCGATAACACTCAACAGTGGATTCAAGATGCCAGTAGTGGGGCTGGGTGTTTGGCGCATGGAAGGAAAAGAAATCAGAGACCTCGTTTTCAATGCCCTCAACCTAGGCTATCGCCATTTCGATTGCGCTGGTATCCATCATCCCATATCTCTCTCATTCATTTTCTTGTTTGTTCATATGGGTTTGATTTCGTTCCTTTCATTTCATAATTTGTGATCTGGGTTCGTTCAAAATGCTCAAATTACACCATGTCAAGAGGGTTCCTTAGATTATTGGTACTTCGGTTTCGATATGAAATTATGAATTAGATTGTGATGTAGCTCAATTAATTTGTGATTTGGGTTTTAGTTGCATCAACTACTTCTGGTAGAGTAAAAGCAGTGTGTTTGCTTGATGTAGTCCGGACTCACTACCGGCCTTTGGCATCACACTAAACCAAAGGTGTATTGGAATCACTCCGATAGGGAAATTAGAAAAATTCCGGCATCACAATGCCCTTCAGCCTCATGCTGAAGGTTCCTTGGAATCACTCCAAGGTTGTTGTGCCTTGCGCACAAGTAAGAAACCGGAATTTCCAGAATTTCTGTCACCAACACTAATCTTAAAAGCTTACAAAGTAGCCCTTTTTATAGGCTAGTTGGCATATGAAGTTGGAAAAATCCATATTAATATACGTAGGAATTCTAAAGACTAACTTATGGCACATAACTATTAACATTGTAACATAGAGAGACCCAAACGCAAAGAACTTGCAGACTGAACCGCATTGATTACAAAAGAAAGTAAAGAGACTAGTTTATTGAATTTTTAACTTGGCTCCTCCATCAGTGCGCGTGTGTATGATGACTGATGATAAACATGCATGATGCATGCATTCGAAGTTCACCAAATTTAAGAAGATTGCATAGTAAAATTGAAGCTATTAGGCTTATAGCGCTTATTAGCATTCTCCATGGGGTGGTTGCCAGTTACCAATTTGTGTCTGAACCGTATTTGGCCTCTTCACTGTGATATTGCGCCCACCGAGTACAAGAAGTCATGAAACAGTTTATTGTTCAGGTTTTGGGTTTGGCTTTTCTTGTGCTTGCTAAAACATTTGAATCTAGGTTCTACTCATTTTTGCCCTATATGGGCGGTAATTATTTGTAGCTTGTAGCACAACTTACCTGTGTGGTTGTAATATACATTGATGAGTTAATGCTGCTTTCAGCTGATTACAAGAATGAACCAGAAGTTGGGGAGGCACTTGCAGAAGCACTTTCGACTGGGCTTGTTAAGCGAGAGGATCTCTTCATCACCACCAAGGCTAGTTGATTTTTCAATCAAGATTTCTTTTTCTGCTCCAGTTCACTAGTCCATATTCTTCATTGTCCAGACTATGGCATTTATTTTTCTCCCTGTTTCTTCATCCTTAATGCAGCTTTGGAATTCAGATCATGGACATGTGGTAGAGGCCTGTAAAGATAGTCTGAAGAAACTTCGGTTGGATTATCTAGATCTGTACCTTGTTCACTTTCCTGTTGCCACCAAGCATACCGGTATTTATTCTTGCTTTTCTCATGCTTTATGCAAAAATTCTCTGTATTATGTATATGTACTCCACTATTTTTGAAATCTTGTTGACAATAATAGTGCGTGATTGAAAACTGTGGATTACTAAAAAGTGAAAACAGTTTACATGTTACCAACTGATGTCTCTACAGCTTGGATGGTCAAGGACATGATTGATAAGTGGAAAGAAAATTCAGGGTATAACCTTTCCTGAGTTATCTAAGTTATCTAGCCAAACTCACTGCAGGCTAAAAGAGCTCAGTAAGAAACAGAAAGCAATACTATTCCAATTCACTAATCCAAACCAAACCAGGGTTTAAGGAATAATTCTAAACTCAATGACTCGCTGAGGGCTGAGAGCCAAAGTGAATGTGAGTGATTTGGGAGGGACAGAAAGGATAAACTGATTATGGTATGTGAGGAGAGTGAAGAGAGAATCAGACATTGAGGGGCAAGTGAGGCATGAAAGGTCGTGGAAAGGAGTTGATGAAGTTATTAGGCTTTTCTTTTCTATCGTGTTAAATAGGAATGGAATTGATGTGGGGGAGAAATGTT